TATTATTTATCATTTGTGCAACACGAGCTTTATTGTCCACGTATAGGACAGTTGGGGTAAAATAAAACATAACTAGTTTGGACTTGACATCATGATGATCAAATAAAATAACCATTACCCAAGTAGCCCATGAAAACCATATATTGATTTCTTGCATAAAACCCAAAATCTTTTGTAACTCGAAGATACCTGAGGACGCGTGAAACACTATTCCAATATTTCATTGTAGGAGAAGCACTAAATGTTGCTAGCAATTTTATCACAAATACAATATCAGGTTTGATGCGTTTATGGAACTTCTGATCCTAAATTGGTGTTCCAACAACTTAACAATGAAATAATGAACTTTTGGTCCCAAAATATTATCTTTATTCTCTTCGAGTCTAAATGGTTTTTTATCTACTTCAAGAGATTGGATAACCGTTAGTGTGACAAGTAAATGATATTTATCCATATAAAACATCTTCGAAACATTTTTCAAGTATGCTAACTAGTGTATAAAAATCTTTCAAAGAAAATGACAATACTTGGACATTGCTGTAAATCATTAAATCACAACGTCATTTCGTATGAATCATGTGATATTGTATATTGAAAACAATATAGAGAAAGAGAGAAGGAGAAGAAGAGCGAAATTGAATCTAGAACACCAACCAACCATTTTCATTAATAATCGTTAACCGTTTATGTGTGTATACACGGGATAACTATACACAAACAGAAAGATTGGAATAATAGTCTTATATTAAAATAGAATATTTATAATACTAGAGACTTTACATAGTATTCCGTAGCCAAACATATTGTGCTCGGATGATATCTCTGTGACTGTTCTTGAGGAAAGGTCACATGATCGAACTTAGATGGTGGGATATTAATGACTCTTTGAGCTGCAGCAGTTAAAGAGAGTATTTAATTTTGATTTGATTTACCAGGACTATGTGGTCCAATGGTACCCGGGTTGGACTTCCATTTGGAAGATTATGAGTTTGAGCCTCAGTGGAGGCGTTATTGGTTCTTTGTGTTTCAGTAGGTTGAGAAAGTATATGAACAGATACTACAATGTAATAGAGCCAGTAACTTTCAAAAAAAAAAAAAAAATTGGGATTTGACTTTGTCCATTACGAATTCAAAAGTATCATCTCCACCCCCCCCCCCCTTCTTTACGCCGACGATGGGCCCAATATAATTATACGAAGTAAATCATATTGCCATTTGCCACCCCTTAGCGATAATGACGACGGAACCAATGAAACGAATCCTTCTGTCATTCATCAATAAGATTGTGACCCACACTGGAATGCACCAACTCTACTCCATATATAATTGGAAATTGGAATAGATCTTTTTTTTTTTTTTTTACATATTTATAACCGTAGAACTAATTTGAATTCCAATTCAAATCACCTTCAAAATTCAGTTCTTATTAAAATTCAAAAAACCCTTTATCGTGGCATAATTCTACCATAATAAAAAGGAAAAAGTGATTAAAAAGTCAAAATAATCGAAACTTAATGAATGAATTCTACAATTACCTTATAACTTAAAAAAATAAAAAGTGTAACTTTCTTTTTTTTTATATAAATCAAAGCGTTTTGTGCTACGTAAAATCATATTTATTGACATTTTTATCTTTCAAAAGTAATATGTAATAGTTATGATAATAACTTGTAATGATTTATGTTTAATATTATATATTACAGAGTTGTAGCAATAGGCAAAAGTAAAAAAATGAATTCTATCATACATCATTTATCTTAGTTTAAAAAAATTTAGTCTTGCATTCAGAAATATATATATATATATATATATATATATATATATATATATATATATATATATATATCTAAAAACATATTAAGTCTCAATTAAGGTTATATCCTTAATTTATGTCCATATTTTTGTATGCAAATAAGTGTGTACATTTTACTTTAAATGTTATACATTTCAATGTTATTAGACAAAACTACCCTTACACCGTTATAACACCGTTAGTTTTTAATTCTAACATTGATAACACATCATTCTTACCATACACATATACCTATCATATCTTTTTCCTATTTTTTAATTATCATTTTATTAAAATCATTATATATTATTATAATAATTAATTATATTTTAATTAAATTTCTATGAATGATAAATTATATATGTGAGTGTACAAAATATATATATTATTTGTGTATATATAATTCAAATTATAATTTTTAATTATTTGTATTTATCAATATTTTAATATTGGGCATGAATTTTCGCGTATCGCGCGTACAAAATGCTAGTATATATATATATATATATATATATATATATATATATATATATATATATATATATATATTCATATCCAACATGTTGGAATATACTTTATAGGGAAAATGACACTTTTTCCCCCTGAGTTATATACCTATAGCATTTTTGCCCCCTAAATTATTGAAGTGGCTGTTTTCCCCCCTGAAATGTTAAATGGACATATTTACCCTTCAACTAAATATTTAATTTATTTTTTTTCTCCAACAAATTATGACCATAATTTGGTTCAAACCAAACAAACACTATAGCAACCAAACCGAAATATTCCAATTACAATTTAGAATCGAAATCCGATATTTAGAGTTTATTAAAATCGTGAACCAGAACGGACGGTTCATGTTCCGAACTGAAAAAATAAAAAATATATAATGTTGAATTTATACTATTTTAAAATAAAAAATAAAATTTTAAAATAAAGACGGTTCAAAATCGCGAATCGGATCCAGAACCGCCAGTTCACGGTTCAAGATTCAATTTTTTTGATACATAATTTTAATAAATTGACATTTAAATATTGGATTCTAGATCTGAATTATAACCGAAAACTATTAATTCGATTGCTATAGTATCCGGTTCAATTCAAACCGAACCGTGGTCATCCCTACGTATACGCAATAATTTGTTGGAGAAGTAAAATAAATAAAATATTTACGTTAAGGGTATAAATGTCAATTAAATATATCATGGGGGAAAAAAACACCACTTTTAGAATAACTGAGGGGGCTAATGTGCTTACCTAAATAATTGAGGGGGAAAAAGTGCTATAAGTATATAACTCAGGGGTAAAAAGTGCCATTTTCCCTACTTTATATTGTTTTTAAGATTCTTTGTAAGAATTAATTTCACTTTTGGTCCCACGACTTTTGATGTTTTATCATTTTTGGTGCACAACTTTAAAATTTTTTAATTTTGGTGCCTAACTTTGTTATTTTTATCAATTTTGGTCCTTTCGGTCAAATTAACAGCGAAATGTTGCTGGATTTTATATTTTTAGGGGTAAAATTGTCATCCCAAGGAAACATCTTCAATATCTAAACAAAATCACTGTAAAATCATATCTATAGGGGTTTGATCGATGAGAATAATGGGGAAGACGGACAGAAACCAGACAGATCTATGGGATTTATAGTTTCGACCATTGGCAAACTCTTCTTTTCCTCTTAATATGATTTTTCTTTTGTTTAAATATTGAAGATCTTTCCATGGTATGACGATTTTGCCCCTAAAATATAAAATCCATAAATATTTTACCGTCAATTTGGCTGGAAGGACCAAAACTGATAAAAATAACAAAATTAGGCACTGATATTGAAAAAATTTAAAGTTGTGCACCAAAAGTGATAAGAACTCAAAAGTCGTGCACCAAAAGTGATAAGAACTCAAATATACTATTATAACTGCAATTATGGATAATTTTTTTTTTCCATTAGAAGTCATTAATACAAAAGGAAAAAAATATTATATTAAATTGGTAACCATTCTTTTTTTGAATGCTACTAGCTCAATTACAATGTTGTATCCCGGGTACCATTAGACCACATAGTCCTGGTAATTGGTAACCATTCTAGTTATTAACATAAAAGGAAAAAAGAAATACGGCATTAAATTGATAACCGTTCTTTAACTTTTGTAACCGATATTAAGAGAATTAAGTAATTAAATAATCTATAAAAAAATAAAGGAGTAAATTTAGAAAATAAATGTAAGAGATACTATAAATAAAACACAAAGTATAACCTTTCAATGTCATCTACACTATCAACATATGTTTTTTACTTCGTTAAAACTTAACCAGATTGACTTTTATTATATTTGCGAGAGTTAGATATATATTATTTATTTATTTATTTTTTTTTCTTATATTATCTACCAATTTGTTATCATTTTTAAATATAAATTTTTTTATTTTTTGAAAAAACTTTTAATATTGGGAAAATGACACTTTTTACCCCTAAGTTATATACTTATAGCACTTTTCCCCCCTCAATTATTTAGGTAAGCACATTAGCCCCCTTAATTATTCTAAAAGTGGTGTTTTTTTCTCCCTAATATATTAAATTGACATTTATACCCTTAAAGTAAATATTTTATTTATTTTATTACTCTAACAAATTATTGCGTATACGTAGGGATGACCACGGTTCGGTTTGAATTGAACCGGATACTAAAGCAATCGAATTAATAGTTTACGGTTATAATTCAGATCTAGAACCCAATATTTAAATGTCAATTTATTAAAATTATGTATCAAGAAAATTAAATCTTGAACCGTGAACCGACGGTTCCGGATCTGATTCGCGATTTTGAACCGTCTTTATTTTAAAATTTTATTTTTTATTTTAAAATAGTCTAAATTCAACAATAAATGTATTTTATTTTTTCAGTTCGGAACATGACGTCCATTCCGGTTCACGATTTTAATAAACTCTAAATATCGAATTTCGATTCTAAATTGTAATTGGAATATTTCAGTTTGGTTGCTATAGTGTTTGTTTAGTTTGAACCAAATTATGGTCATAATTTGTTGGAAAAAAAAATAAATTAAATATTTAGTTTAAGGGTAAATATGTCCATTTAACATTTCATGAGGAAAAACAGCCACTTCAATAATTTAGGGGGAAAAAATGCTATAGGTAGAAAAAGTGTCATTTTCCCTTTAATATTTATAACTTTTTTCTAATTGGAGAGGTAATGGCGAAATGTTGATAACGTCCTTTTTGTACAGTAAACAGGGAGGGAGTATATACTGATTGATTGATCGAGTCGTGAACGTGCGTGATAAACGGTACTGATCGCTGCAGATTCAGATCGAGCGGGAGAGAAATGGCGAGGAAAGCAGTGTTGATCGGAATCAACTATCCTGGCACCAAAGCCGAGCTCAAAGGCTGCGTCAATGACGTCCGGCGAATGCACCGCTGCCTCGTCGACCGTTACGGCTTCTCCGAGGACGACATCACCGTCCTCATCGACACCGACGCTTCCTACACCCAGCCTACGGGCCGCAACATCCGCAGCGCTCTCTCCGATCTCGTCAAATCCGCCGGCTCCGGCGACTACCTTTTTGTCCACTATAGCGGCCACGGTACCCGCCTTCCGGCCGAGACCGGCGAGGAAGACGACACCGGCTTCGATGAGTGCATCGTCCCTTCTGATTTCAATCTTATCACCGGTAAGATACTAAGATTACTTGTTTCCAAGCATCAATTAGTGTGATTGTTAGTTTTGTGAACTAATCTAAAACTGTCTGATTAGAAATGAAATTTTGCAGCTTCCTGCAATTGTTAGCGCTGCTTAAATTGGTTTGATCTCTGTTGAGAATTGTACTGTGAACTCGAGTTGATATTTTAATTGTTTGTTTTTTTTTCTACTGCATTTGAGTGATTGCTCTGGATGCTCATAAGATAAAGTTTTACTGAGTCTGGAATATAATAAATATTCAATATGGCAATACTCCTCGCATTTGAATATTTGATCTAGATGATCATCATGTCTGAACTGTATTGATCTGGGTTAATGGTTCTACCAATTGGTTATCTGGCGCTTTTTGGCTTGGAAAAGGTGTTTTTGGATCCTGATTTTACATTTCTATTGCTAAACATTAGACTTGTTGCTATTTTTATCTGTGCGTCAACCCCTTCTTTATTCAGATGATGATTTTAGAGAGCTGGTGGACTCCTTGCCGCAAGGTTGCCGACTAACAATAGTATCTGATTCATGCCATAGTGGTGGGCTTATTGATAAAGCCAAGGAGCAGATTGGAGAGAGTACCCATGACAATGCTGATGCTGATGATGCTGATGAGGATGGTGGTGGATCATCTCGATTTGGATTCAGGAAATTCTTGCGTGGGAAAGCTGAGTCTCGTGGCATTCACCTCCCAGGATTTCATCACCATCATGAACACGATAGTGAGACTGAGAGAGAAATAGTGATTGAATCAGAATATGGGGATCAAACCCATGTCAAGAGCAGATCCTTGCCTTTATCCACCCTTATTGACATTCTTAAGCAACAGACTGGTAAGGATGATATTGATGTTGGGAATGTTAGGCCAACTCTTTTTGATGTCTTTGGAGAAGATGCAAGTCCTAAGGTGAAGAAATTCATGAATGTCATTTTTAATAAACTTCAGAGTGGCGAAGGTACTGGAGGGGGTGGTGGCTTTTTGGGGATGGTTGGGGGCTTGGCTCTGGAAATTCTAAAGACTAAGCTTGAGCAAAACGATGAGAATTATGTGAAACCTGCTCTGGAAACACCTGTAGGAAGCAAGCAAGACGCTTATGCTGGACCAAGCCAAAAGGATTTCCCAGACAATGGCATTCTCATCAGTGGCTGCCAAACCGACCAAACATCAGCTGATGCTACTCCTAACAACAATCCCCAGGAATCATATGGCGCCCTCAGCAATGCGATTCAGACCATACTCAAAGACTCAGATGGGCCAGTCACTTACCAAGACCTTGTTCACAAGGCTAGGGAGATGTTGGAAAAGCAAGGGTTCTCACAGCGCCCTGGTCTTTACTGCTCTGACTCTCATGTTGGTTCTTCTTTTGTGTGCTGATAGTATATTATAATATCACCAACTTCATGAGCATATATTATGATGATTATGACTGAAAAACAGTACCATATCTGTATTCTTCTTGCTTTGTGTTTGGTTTTTTTAGTTGGGCTTAAGAGTTTCTGTCCAGTGGATTAAATAAAGCTTTGACCAAAATATGTATTGGTTTATGTCTACTCTTTGTGTAATTGGTACTAAAAGGATTGTGTTTGATTAAGGTTATTTTTTACTAGTAAAACCTGTGTGATAGATACACATTAGAGTGGAGAAATCAGCTTTATCAATTGGTAATTGGGTATTGATAAAGGCTTCTCAATCATATGTTAGCATTGGAAATATTACTCTAACCATGCCTGTTTGGTAGGAAGGAATATAGAATTATTGGGATTGAAAAGGGAAGAAGTGGTATAAAGACTAAATTGTCCTTGTGTAATAATAATGCTAATAATAATCAAGGATAAAAAAATCATTTTTCTCCTTTTTCCCTTTTCTTTTCCCATTGAATTGCAATTCTTATGGGGGAGAGTATGAATTGCAATTCAACAAAATGAAGAATTGCAATTCGGTGGAATTGCAATTCTCTCAAACCAAACACTATAATTCGGGTGGCCAACGAATTAGGCTGTAATTGAATTGTAACTACATACAACCAAACAACCCATTAGTTTATTGGATGAAAAAAAAAGGAACCCGAGTTGGACTTCCATTTGGAAGATTGTGAGTTCGAACCTTTGAGAAGATGAGAATATAATTGTGTTGTATTCAATAATGATGTCTGAGAGTACAGGGAGCGAATATATAGAGATGCTAGATATAATCGAGTCCTAATACTCCCCCTCAAGTACAAGGTTGGTCAGCCAAAACATTGAGCTTGCAACGGAGTAAATTAAAACGTACAGACGAAAGAGACTTAGTAAAAATATCCGCTATCTGATCTTTGGTAGAAATAAAATTGACTTGTAATTCCTTCTTCGCGACTTTATCACGAACAAAGTGGTAGTCGATCTCAATGTGCTTGGTGCGAGCATGAAACACCGGATTAGCACACAGATAAGTAGCTCCCAGATTGTCACACCAGAGTTTGGGCACAGAAGGTGGCGCAAACCCGATTTCCTTCATCAGAGAGACGAGCCAAGTAACCTCTGCAGAGACATCAGCCAGTCCTTTGTATTCAGCCTCAATTGATGAACGAGCCACAGTACGTTGTTTTCGACAAACCCATGAGACAAGATTGGTCCCCAAAAATACAGCAAAACCACTAGTAGATTTGCGATCATCAGGGTTGCCAGCCCAATCCGAATCAGAATATGCATGAATATCTAGAGAAGGAGAAGACGTAATCTTAAGACCAAGATGTAGTGTCCCATTTACATACCGTAACACCCTCTTGAGAGCCGCCCAATCCGCAGTAGAGGGAGAGTGCATGTGTTGACACAAACGACCATTTACATACCGTAACACCCTCTTGAGAGCCGCCCAATCCGCAGTAGAGGGAGAGTGCATGTGTTGACACAAACGATTGACTGCATAGGAAAGATCAGGCCGAGTTACCATAAGATATTGCAGAGCACCTGTAAAGCTGCGATACTGAGTGGGATCAGCGTATGGTACCACGGCATCAGTCTCGGCCTTCGTGGTTGAAACCGGAGTAGCCACGGGCTTGCAATCAACCATACCTGCTCGTTTTAGAATATCCTTCATGTACCGTTGTTGAGACAGAAGCATGCCATCAGACAATGGAATGGTCTCAATACCCAGAAAGAACGAGGGCACACCCATATCACGAACTTTAAACTCAAGAGCCAACTTGTCAATAAGAGCAGTCACATGAGCCGGATCAGATCTCATAACCAAAATATCATCCACATAAACCAGAAAATATAAACGAGTATTGCTATGTGAATATATAAATAGAGAGACATCCGTCTTGGAAGGTGAGAAACCAGCAGAAACCAGAAAATCATGCAAACGAGTGAACCAAGCACGGGAAGCTTGCTTAAGCCCATATAAAGAACGTTGAAGGAGACAAACGTGCCCAGGCATCGTTTTGTCTTCATAACTAGGGGGCTGGCGCATATAAACCGTCTCAGCGAGATTGCCATTTAGAAAAGCATTGTGTATGTCCAACTGTCGAATAGTCCATCCACGAGAAATAGCTAAGGATAAAAGAAGACGTACCGTAGTCGGTTTAACAACGGGACTAAAGGTCTTAAAGAAATCCTCGCCGGCAATTTGATTGAATCCCTTGGCAACTAACCGAGCCTTGTAACGCTCAATCGAACCATCAGCCTTTCTCTTGGTTCTAAACACCCACTTACATCCAATTACATTCATACCTGATTTAAAGGGAACAAGCCTCCATCTATTGTTGTGCACCAAGGCATTAAATTCCAAATCCATTGCATCCCGCCATTCAGGAAATTTAACCGCTTGAGTAAAACATGTAGGTTCAGGAGTAACAGCAGCAGCAGATAAAGCAACATGATCATGTGGTCCCGAACTTCTCGTATTCATTCCATGAGAGCGAACGGGTGAGGGCGCGTGACGAGACCGACCACGAGGCCGGCCTCTTGGCCGAGGAGCCGGCTGGTCAGTGACTGTCTGCTCGGACTCGGTCACGGGCTCGGCAGTAGCAAGCTGCTGGAGGTGGTGGTCAGAAGAGGCTATGAGCGCGGCAGGAGGGTCACGAGTCGTGACAATAGTCGGATCACCACCAGAAACAATTGGTGCAACACCCCACGGCTCCGAGCGTGGTTTTGGAACCTGCGAATCCACAGAAACAACAAAAGGAAAGACAACCTCATCGAATCGCACATGGCGACAGATAAAAACCTTGTTAGTGTTAGTGTCTAAACAACGATAGCCATGAAAAGATGGAGGATATCCTAGAAAGACACAAGGGGATGACCGAAACTGTAGTTTGTTGCGATTATAGGGACGCAAATTTGGAAAGCATAAACACCCAAAAACACGCAGATATGAATAAGATGGAGGAGACCGATGCAAAAGATAATGAGGAGATTTATCAGATAAGACAGAAGTGGGCATTTTATTGATTAGATAAACCGCAGTTTCAAAAGCATAATCCCATAAACGAGACGGAACAGAGGATTGAGTTATTAATGCTAGTCCCGTTTCAACAACATGCCTATGCCAACGTTCTACCCGGCCATTTTTTTCATAAGTATACGCACATGATTGCCTGTGACGAATACCTAAGGACGCAAGAGTGGAACCATGCTTTTTATATTCTTCCCCTAAATTAGATTGAAAAGAAATAATCTTGCGAGAAAAGAAACGTTCAACTAGTGACCGAAACTTATCAAATATAACATACAAATCAGATTTAGCACGCATGGGATAATACCACATATAACGAGTGTAATCATCCACAAACAACACAAAATATTTAAAGCCATACGCAGAAAGTAATGGCGCAGGGCCCCAAATATCTGAATAAATTAATTCCAAATAATGCTACTAGTGGTTTCGACACGAGACAAAGGAAAACGAGAAGATTTTCTCAATTGACAAGAGGAACAGACATTGGGAAGATCACTAGAATTAAATGTACCAACAGACGAAGACGCTAAAATTTTACGTAAGACTCGAGAATGAGGATGCCCCAACCGCATGTGCCAAACGTAAGAGGACCGTGCAGCAACAAATGCAGCAGGGGAAGCAGAAGACGCAGGCCGTGTGTAGAGACCCCCAGACGCATGTCCCTTAAAAAGAACCTTCTTGGTCAAAATGTCTTTCACATAGAAACAAAGAGGGTGGAACTCAAAGAAAACATTATTGTCCTTTGCAAAACGCTGGACAGATAATAGAGAAGAAGAGAGACCATGGACATGCAAAACATCATGTAACTTAAAAGACATAGAATCAGTGTGGCTAACGAAGCAGAACCAACATTAACAATAGGCAAACTTGTACCATTGCCGACTCGCAGAGTCTCCGGGCCATCATAACTTGTCGCAGAAGTCATCAAAGAAGAATCAGGCGTTGCATGATTTGTAGCACCAGTGTCAGGGAACCACTGATGAGGACCGTTGGAATCACCATTATCACCAGAGACGGCCACATTAGCCTGAAAACCAGGAGCCCCTGAATAACGCCGAAAACAGTTTGGCTCCCGTGTGACCAAAATGGTCACAAATTTGACACGGATCATCATTGCGCCAAAAACAATTGGCTCCCGTGTGACCAAAACGGTCACAAATTTGACACGGATCATCATAACGCCAAACACAATTGGCTCCCGTGTGGCCGAAACCGTTACAAATTTGACACGGATCATCAACGTCACGTCATTGACCGGACCGCTTCTGATACGATGTATCTTGGTTTGATGCCATCGGCTACTGCTACAAAGTGAGGAACATGGATGTTGGAAAAGAAAACCCTGGCTAACTGATACCAGATGAGAATATAATTGTGTTGTATTCAATAATGATGTCTGAGAGTACAGGGAGCGAATATATAGAGATGCTAGATATAATCCTAGTCTAACACGAATAATATAGTCCTAGTCTAATATAGATAATATAGTCCTAGTCTAATATGGATAATAGAGTCCTAATAGAGAAAGTATATGAACAGATATTACATTGTAATAGAGTCAGTAGCATTCAAAAAAAAGTGTAAAAAGATAAAAAGAAATTAAAAGAGGGAGTGAGTATAGTGGCAAATTATTGTGTGGACCATGGTCTGGTTCACACAGTGTTGTATGGATCATAACAAAAAATACATTTTTAATATAAATATATTATTCGTGTACTGAATATATATTATACAAAATAATGTACTTTACTTAAATAATTTATTTTCCCTGAATACAATGTACATTTGTAATATACTAAAAGTATATTATTTGTGTACTGAATATACATTATTTAATAATATGATCTACCGAATAATGATTGGAGTATAGTATTACCGGTGAGCAAATCAATTTTTACACCATGGGCTAGGTCCACATTGCATTGTGGATCTTGGTCCAAAACAACATTCATATTTCATTTGTACTTAACATATTATGAAGATAAATTGAACGTACATAATATGTTAACGGTAGATAGATAATATATTAATTTTTGTATGTACATAATTTTTGAGTCGGAGTTAATAAATTATGTATTTGTAGTTAACATATTATGTTATTTCAGTTAATAGATCATGTGCCAATACATAAATTGAAGGTACATAATATGTTAACTACAAATACATAATTTTTGTAATTTTTGTAATTTAGAAAATGATCAAAGGCTGAAAGTCAATGAAAATGGGAGAAAACGCGGTAACATTTTTGTAATTTTTGTAATTATGATTGTGCATTTAGAAATACTTGACAGTGTATTTAGAAATGTTTGACTATGCATTTGGAAATGCTTTAAGTGCATAGAATTGTCTGCACGTCACCACAGAAAGTTACGAGTATTACGTGTTCTTCCAAGCTGACGAACTACAAAGTCAAGTCATCAAAGTTGTGGGAAAATGTCACCCTCTCCGCTCAGAGCATTGTGAAAGTTGTGAGAACTTATTGTGAAAATTTGTGTGTAGTTAAAGGGGGGGAAATTGTTGGGGAACTAAACCAAAGGAGACATGAAATTAAATGGCAAAAGCCCCCTCTTGGTTAGGTCAAGTTTAATGTTGATGCTGCCTTAAATCAAACGAGGATCGGAAACAGGATTTGGGTGCGTTCTTAGGGATTGTGAAGGTAAATTTATTGCTACAAAATGTATGTATAGAGGAGGGTCCTTTACTCCAAAAGAAGCTGAAATAATGGGAATTACAGAAGCTCTCACGAATTCCATGTTATCTCTAATCTTTCTGCTACTAGTTTGTTGATTTGATGATGTAAAAGAATTAGTAAAGAATTTTTCCTATGTCACATTCTTGTTTGTTTTTACAAACATTGTAGCTCATTTGTTAGTTAGAAAAGTTATGTCTATGCAAGATTATTGGAAGTGTTATTCTACGCTTTCAATTTGTATCTGTGTTTTAATTTTTTTTTAGTGTATCTAAAATTTTCACTGTTTAACATAGTGATTAATCCATCACTTAATTGTACGCACATCTATTGGATGGACCAGCTAGCCTGAAGATTTAATTTTAAATTGTGTTAAGTAATGAAGTTTTTCCTTTTAAAAAATGATAATAAGATCCACTTTTGAACATGAGAGATAATTTCAAGAATAAATGTAGCCTTTAGTCTTCACCATTTCAATTAATCAACTAATATCTTCAATACAATCAATAAATATACTCTCTATGGTAATTAAAAACTATTAAATACATATTTCAAACAATTCAAATTATAATAACTTCGTAAAAAGAATTACAATCTAACCCATAAAATTATTTTTAGTAAATTTTAACACATTGTCACATGAGCTTAATTTTCCATCAGAACTAAGCTTCCAAAATCCTTGTGTGAGGTATGCAGTTGACAACTCATATAAATCTTAATCTCCTTATCCCCTACCCATAGGACTCTGATGCTTCTGGAGAGATTCGAATACCCTTCAAAGCTAGGGAGCTCCTCAATTTCCATATATTCCAGATCATATAAGCAAAATACTTCTTCCAAAAGGTTGAATCCTCAACTCCAAGGGCCTCCCACATCCCGGCCCGACAGAATATATGAGAGGATGTAAATCATGCTGACTCAATGACTCAACATACATGGCCAAATGCCGGTGCGCACAAAAGATCTGCCCATTTTGTGCATATTCTCCACACTGTCGCCACCGAAGTTCGAACATTGATCTCTTCTCCAAAATACTGCCTACTGAATCATTGAGCTAAGCCCGGACAAATATTGTCCAGCGGATGCCCAACTGTATTGAATTCAGCAGCAATTTTCTCACACCCAATATTGAGTATTCTTGTTCTTACTTATGGGTATCAATAATTTGCATCCAGCAGGCTTGTGCAAACTCACAGTCGTAAAGAATGTCAAAACTAGCTTCTCTTTAGTGACCACAAATCAGGCAATAAGAATGCTCTCCAGAGATTCCACATCCCAAATAGCTCGAGCTTGCAACGAAGTCTGGAATGGAAATACTATGACTGGACAATATACAAAATGTTGAATGTTAGACTATGAGTGGAAAACGACATATTTTTAAGATCTGGAATCTAAAGGATATCAAGTTTTTCTGAACCTGAAAAAGAGATGCCTAGTTATTATCTATGCAAGGGATTAAAGAGCACTCATCATAATGCTATGATGAGCAGAAAAATATAAGAATCGATGCCTTTTGTAACGAAAAAGGTTGGAAAAGTTTTACTATGCATGAGACACAAAGTTTAACCATAGGCTAGCTAGTACAGAGTAGTAAACTGTCATCAAGAATTATTTCAAGTATAATTAAGGACTGCCAGCAAACTGGCTCAGTACCTATTTCCATAAACCAGTGATCCAAGATTCAATCTGGTGTTAGAAGTACCTCCTGAGATTCCATTCATAAGAACTGATCTTGTGATTTGAGAGTATGAATTGAGCACTGTTGCTGCACAACAAGGACATAATCCGAGATTCTTGCCACATAAGCACCAGCACCTACATATACCCAACAAATTTAGTCCACTACCAAGATCAATAGGAAGCAGTTTTTTTTCCAGCTGATAATACAGATAGATGAATTGCCATGCAAATGAAATCATTTCAGATCAACATCATGGCACAGCACATTTGAGAGTTACCTTTGAGTTGAAGCCAAGCATGAATATTCCCATACACAAGGATCAATCCTATCAACAGCCTGCAATCCCCTGCATGCAGAGCATTCCGTGGTTATTTAGCTCAGTTATGGTTCATCCTAGCCTTAGTGCCTTACAAACAGCAAGAGACAAGAAACAAACATAAAAGTAAGCACTACCTAAGAAGACCACACAAAATAAGAATTATGCAACTTCAAGACATGTCAATCTATATGGTTCAGTTCTCATGTCTGTGAAAGGATTTTCAGGTTCCTATATTTGGCATCTGAAAATTTCAAAGTAAATGATACGCTTTTATGTTAAAAAATAATTTGACTGCATTTGACCTACACATCTGTGCTAAACAAGTTCTAGGTCTAATTACATTATGAACCACTTACACAATGACAGATAAAACCCAATTTGGTTATATATTGCTGGCTATCAAAGAAAAGGAAATGTAACATAAAAGTGAAGAGAAAACAACTGTTGAATGAATACTAGATTATATAAATATATGTTAAGTGTTTGTAGAAATCACATTGTGGGTGATACTGCATCTTGTAGCAAGTTCAGTGATAGGGATAGCATCCAGACATAGAAAACTGCAAATATAGGAAGAGGAAAAAAAGAAGGCTGATTGCACTTTACGTGCAATGATGGATAGTTTCCAGACATAGAAAGCTGCAAATATAGGAAGAGGAATGAAATAAGGCAGATCACACTTGGAGACAATTTACTAATGATATGCTCACAACAAAGAATTTCTGCTCTCCAATTACACTTTCATACCCAAATCAAAGGCCAATTTTTTTATTGCCCATTGCTTCATCAATCCTTACTTAAATTGCACAGTTTCCTATAACACATGGACACATAAATAAATAAATACACACACACACACACACACACACACACACATATATATATATATATATATATAGAGAGAGAGAGAGAGAGAGCTTGTTTTTTGCCAAATATATATATATATATATATATATATATATGGGAGGCATTTTTTGTCTTATGCCACTTTTTTTTCCTTCTTTTCCTACCCAATTGATATGTGATCAATAAACCCCTACTTTTTCCATTTTTAGAAACAAGCATTCTAGTAAAAGGCATTTGATATATATATATATATATATATATATATATATATATATCTCACATACACATACAGAGATAGACTCTTATAGTAAATACAAAGCATAAATCTCTTTTAATCAACACATTCAAGTAATTTGCTAAATGAAAGCTTTTTCACAGATATTCTGTATGCAAATAGGAATAGTAAAACCAATACAAGAATAGACAATAAACTGGCACGCTTTCTCAAGAAACTAAGAGATTTTTTTTTTTTGGTGAGATGGAAACTAAGAGATATAGATTAAAGTGTATCCAGCAAAAATATTGTGCACAATGCCATATCCAGCAAGCATAGCATCTAAAACACTCTGGATGCCAAAATGTAACCTGCAATTAAGAATTATCCATGACTAATCTCAGTGTTACAACCAGAACATCCTAACAAATGCAAATATCATTTATCAGTAATAACAATTTAAAAATAAAATAAAACAAAAAAACAAAAACAAACAAACAAACACTCAAACTGCAAAACTGCACAATCTGTGAAGCTCTGATCTGTCTTTCAAAAGAAAGAAGAGGCATATGTGAAATTTATGTAAGGTAGCATCCAAATGGATGCAGCTAGGACATTGATGAACCCAGTGGATTTAGAAAAGTTAAGGTCTTTGAATATAAATTATTGCTTAGGATGAGAAAATTTGGGGCAAGTAAGAAGATTTAACCAACCTACAACTTGTTGTGTAGGGGGAAGTTACAAGTTGATAGAAGTTCCCATTGCTATATCCACATCCCTGCCAACTGCCATTTTGGTTTGCCTGCAAAGGTGGATATTCAATGCTCAAGCACTCCCAAAGAGCTCTGGCAATTTGTTCATCTTCATTTAATTGTGATTCACTATCTGCAAATACAAAAATACAAGATACTCATCAAGTGAACCACCAGAACCTAAGTCAATATTGCATACAACTATAACATTTAATTATAGTTTTCAGCAACTTCTGTGGTAAAAATAATCATGCAACAGCCAACAGATATCCATCTACAAAGCCACAGAATTTGCTGAGAAGTGAGAATAAAAAGCGTTTTTACCCATCCCAAAAAAAAAAACAAAAAACAAAAAACAAAAAAAAGTGAGAATCGAACAAGTGTTATGTGATTGAGGGCAATACCCTAGGGAAAAGCACAACTATGTGTCTATGTGGCAATGAATTTCTATTTATAGCATCATACCTGGCAGAATCTTAATACCATTTGTTTTTCTTCTTTGAAATTTTTTAGTAAAAATCATCAGGAAAAAAAAAAAAAAAAAAAAAAAAAAAGAAGTTAAATAGTCATTCCCGTACTCCATAGCAAACTGAGTAAATTCTATGGTGTAAATTCCAGCAAATTGTTTCAGTGAATTTGTTAGTCTTTACCGATTACAGGGCAATAGTTGCTGAACGGAATCCTCGGAAACTGTATAATGCAATAGTTTGAAGCAAACAGTGATGAATTTGTTTAGCCTATCTCACAAGTTCTGCTTCTTTTTCTTTTTCTTTTCATTTTTTGTACAAAGTTGTGTTTAAGGTCTATTCACAAGACATCACTCATAATATTGCAAATTAAGACATTATATAGCACGATAAATAGAAGCAATAGTAGGTGTATATATGCACATATAATCTTTACTTCTTAAAAATGAGAAGCTTGAATGGTGCATGCTGCCATGAGAAAATTTTCATGTCATAAAGTAGGAGCATTTACTGCATTTAGGATAAGAATGCTGAATAAGACAAGATTAACATATGTTTTTTTTTTTAAATACAAATGTTAACAAGTAGAAACTACCAGGAACTAGCTCTAATGCTAAAATTTCCACAACAAACAGGGCTTGGTTCATTTTTCTCACCGAGGTTGTACTCTTGTTTGGTTTGATCCAGCCCCTCCAATGACATGGTTTCAGGCCAAAATGAATATTTTCCTATGAGATTGACCTCATTGAACATGCTGTTGAGGAGTGACCAGTTAACCCTAGGTCACGCAGCATGGACCAATCCCTGTGAATCAAATATCCATGTCTGTTTAAGATGTGATCTATGTCATGAAATGACAAGGGTTTTGAGCTAGTAGACTTTGCTAAATTAAATAAAACGGAACAAATTATATTATAATGTTCTGTTGAATTGATACTAAAACATTTGAAATCAAGTTAAAGTACATTCTAAGAGTAAAAGAGATGAGAAAAGACGGTATTATATCCCAAGCCACGATATCTACACAAACAATAAATAGATGTGTCTTTGAGAAGATGACATAATTGTTAGTACAGGTTACTCAACTCTATTATGATGGTAGTTGTCTCTGTAATAACTAGGCTTGTTATTGGATTCTTTTTTAAAAGAAATATCAAATTACAATAATATTGAAGTAACAGAAGGTTTAGAGGGTTCATACCTGAAAAGCACATAACACAGCGAATGTATGATCTCTATAACTTAGTTACTTCAACCCAATAAAACAGAGCTGCATACATCCAACTCCAGATTTAGAATTTGGTTGATTCCCTAAGTTCTTAAAATTCAACAATGCATTTTGTATCAAGGAGAAGGAGCCAGATTAATTAGGCTTCTTCATCTGTTTGTAACATTTCCCTGCAAGTGGAGACTAAACCCCAATGCCTGCCACTAAAAAAAAAAATCAATTTGAATTTTATAATCGGCACAATAGCATACTACACAAGCAATAAGATAACTGATATTCTAAAGAATGTGTGTTAAATAAAGTGAGTGAATTTGAAGTAATCCTAGATGTCATTACCTTCATTTATTGTTCTCTTCGTCACAAGATTCAGTTCCCCGCTAGCCTTCATCATTTCATCCAAAAGTTTTGATACTTCTTCCACATTTCCTTGTCTACGCAGAGCATTTGTCAAAGTAGAATAAGTAATCATTGAAGGAGTAATCCCAGCTTTTATCATTCTCTCTTTCAATTCAAGAGCTTCACTAGTATTACCAGTCTTACAGTACCCATCAATCAAAGTATTATAGGTTATAACATTGGGGGTTAGGCCTTTTGAGTGAAGCTTATGAAAAAGTCTCAGTGCTCTATCAACATTTCCTGTTTTACAAAGGCCATTGATGAGAGCATTATAGATAGCAATGTTAGGAACAAGATCCCTTTTTAGCATCTCATCCCGTAATTTAAAACCCTCATCAACATTACCAGCTAATGAAATACCCTGTATCAAGGCACAGTATGTAAACTCATCTGGGATAAATCCTTTCTCAAACAAAGCACTAATCATTTCTCTGGCATCATTCATCCTTCCAATTTTGCATAGCCCCAGTACTGCTAGATTATATAGTATTTTGTTCGGCACAATAGAATTTTTTACCCCCTCATCAAGGGAATTTGCAATTTTTTGAACATCTAATGATCTTACATGGGGGTTCGGAAAACCATGAGGACAGTTAAGGTTCAGACTAGTATCAAAGTCCATTACTTTTTGCAACAACATATTTGCATCAGCAGTCCTGCGATGCCTATATAATCCACCAATAATGGTGCTGAATATGATCCCATTTGGATTCAACCCCTGATTTATCATCACAAAATATGCATTAAAAGCTCTCTCAAGCTCTCCTTCCTTAACCCATCCAGTAATAAGGGCACCATATGTAACAACATTGGGCGTTATTCCCTTTGCATGCATTTCATTGAGAAGATCTTCGACTTTGTTCAACTTCCTAGCCATAAAAAATCCACTAACAAATGAATTGTACATTTCAATGGAAGCAAGGATTCCTTGCTGTTCCATGACTCCCTTTATTCTCAAAGCCATTTCAATTTGACCATCTTTACAGTAACCGTTAATTAAGGTTCTATAAGTTACTCCATCAGGTGAACAGCCAAGCTCCTTCATTTTGTCAAGAAGCTGCTCAGCTTCAATCATTTTCCCCATCTTACATAGTCCCTTGATCATTGTATTGAAAAGAATTAGGCTTTTGGTATACCCTCTAGCCATAATATGTTTCCACAACATTGTAGCCTTCTCAAAATCATTTGCCTTAAAAAGTGCAGCAAAAAGAGTACCATATCCAACTTCATCAGAAGCAAAACCTCTCTTAAGCATCGAATGCCAGAGGTCCAAAGCATTACCAATGGCACCAGCTTGACATAAACCTTTCATGAGAGTATTGTAAGTTACAACTGTTGGATCTATACCAACTTGAATCATTTCATCACAAAGGTTGAATGCTTCACTTGTCCAACCTCCCCTGCAATAACCATCTAATAGGGTATTATAGCTGTAAGAATCTGGTCTTACATTCCAGCCCATCATAGTCCTTATAATCCATTCTGCTTTGCGGACTTGACCAAGCTTGCAATAACCATTTATAAATGAATTGCAAATAAATAGGTTCATTTTCAAGCCTAATTTCAACATCTCATCTCGAATCCTAATTGCTTCATCCAGTTTCCCAATTTGACAAAACCCATCTATCAACACACCAAAGGCCTGCTCATCCACAACTACTGTATCATTCTCTGCCACCTCCATCCCTCGAAATACTTTCTCTGCTTCCTCCATATTCCCCTGCTTGCAATATCCCTTGATTAGCAATGTGTACGTCACCACATTCTTGGATATACCTCTTTCAATCATTAATCTTAACACTCTTTCAGCTCCAGTCATATCACCATTCTCCGCATACCCATTGATCAAACTATGGTAAGTGGCTCTATTTGCTTCCAAACCCTTTGCTTCCATTTTCTCAATAAAGTCCTCAGCTTTATCAACTCTACCATCCTTACAATGGGCATTTACCATTATTGTGCAAGTGTATATGTCAGGAGAAATTCCAATTCTAGTAATCTGATCATAAACACAAAATGCAGTATGATATTCACGATTTTTCACCAAACAACTCAACAAACTATTACAAGACAGTAAGCTCGGCCTGCAGCCGCACTTGGGCATATTATCAAACACGTACAATGCATTCTTAATCAACCCCTTCTTAGCGTAAATTTTCAGAACCATATCAAAAACCGTGGGAGAAAATTTGAATTCTGTATAAACTGCAACCAATCCATTCCATACAAGCGACGTTAATTCCTTTTGTCTAGAGAGTTCCACGAGCTCATCCAAATAAGACCGCGCTTCGTCGAACATTCGAGCTTTCGACAATATGTGAACGATTATGCAGTAAGATTTCATGTGCGGCCTGTAAAATTGCTGCTTTGAAGCTAGTTTGAAGAAATGAAGAGAGGCTTCGGGGTTTAGCTTGAGCTTTCGAAGAACGGCGTCAACGAGGGCGTCGGAGAAATCAATATTGATGCTGTCATAGCGCCGGAGAATTAAGAGTCGACATATCCGATCGAGGAGTTCGGAACGGGTCAGTTGGGACTCAAATCGGAGCCGTCGACGAGTAACTGTTGTAGTGTGAATGGCGGCCGTCTGTTGTTTGAGCGGAGGGAGGAGACGACGAATGAGTCTGCGATTGGAGAGAGGGAAGATGCTTCTTACCATTATTCTTCCTCGCCGCCGACGGATTCAGTTCTCATCAGCTCGTCTCCATCCACATTCGGTCCATCAAAAGAGAACGCCGGCCGGTTGCCATACGCCAATTTAAAGAGACCAAGTGAAGTTCAAGTTCAAGTTTATTCCAAGTTTTCCTTTTTTTTTTTTTTTTTTTTTTTTTAATACTAACAGTGACTCTTTTTAATTTATTAAAGCAACCCAAAAATAGAGACTGTATTCAATAAGATTTGGGAAAACAACTATTTTCACTTTTGGTCTCACGAGTATGGAATCATTTTCACATTTAGTTTCCGATTATTAAAATTTTTAAATTTAGTTTTATGACTTTTAAATCCTTACCACATTTGGTCCTCAACTATTAAAATTTTAAGATTTGGTTCTACAAAAGTCCTTGCCACATTAAGTCCCGACTATTAAAATTTTCAGATTTGGTCCTACGATAAAGTTACCTCCAAATTCTTTATAAGTTAATATGGTGTTGAATTAATGATATTATGATCACAGAATACAAATATTGTATACAAACTTTAATAATGTTAAAATCAAATAAATGAAAATTATATTACAAATTTAAATTTACAAACATGGAATGTTTTGTACAAAATACAATTTATTTATTTTTTAAAGGAAATACAATTTATTTAATTAGGAGGGAGATTAGTTGTTAATTTTGGGATTAGAATCACCTGATCAAATTTAATTTTAATAGTCAGGGACTAAATGTTGCGAAGATTTAAAAGTCGTGGGATCAAATCTAGAAATTTTAATAGTCGAGACCAAATTTACCAAGGATTTAAAAGTCATGGGACCAAATCTAGAAATTTTAATAGTCAGGGACCAAATGTGGCAAGGATTTAAAAGTCGTGGGACCAAATCTGAAAATTTTCATAGTCAGGGATCAAATGTGGCAAGGGTTTAAAAGTCGTGGGACCAAATCTAAATATTTTGATAGTCAGGGACCAAATGTGGAAATAGTTCCATACTTGTGGGACCAAAAGTAGATATAACTCTTTGGGATAATGGTAAAATAGGTCATCTAACTTTACACGAAAATATAATTAGACCCTTAAACTTTTAAAAAGTTCAATTAAACACTCCAACAATATAAATTAGATCAAATAAGCCCATTTTACCGGTAACCAACAGGTTACCGGTATATAAGTCATCGTTGACTGTTACTATTTACTTTGACTACCTTGGAATATCATTGAACGGAGGAAAATCGATGACCGACAACCCGACCGTCGGTCGCCCTCTTTGAAGAAGGCAACTAGTGGTCGCCATCGCCAGGCAAAGACGACCACCTTGGTCACCTTTTCCAACGAGAAGGTGACCTAAATGTGGTGGCCTTCTATTCGGATGAAGCTGGCGGTCGATTACCTACAAGTGACCTGCTATTGCAGGTCATTAATCAATGTTAGGATTTCAATGCATTAAAATAGCTAGTTGGAGTGTTTAATTGCACATTTAAAATTTTGAGGGGTTAATTTCACTTTTGTATAAAGTTAGAGGGCTTATTTGACGCTTTTCCCATAAGATTTTGTTAAAACTTTTAATGACTAAGGGGGTGTTTGCTAAATAGCTGCTAGTGAGTTAGTGAGTTTGACTAGTTGATAACATTAATTGATACATGCAAAATTAATTTATCAAAAAACTGATCGAAAAAACTGCTTTGAACAGCTTTTTTGAATTTTAGCATTCTAGAACAATAAGTTGTTATACTCAGCTAATTAATCAAACACTCAAATAAGTCAAAATTATTGACCGATAGACAAACTATGTTACCAAACATGACCTAAAAGTTTAATAATATTCGATATAAAATTTTATAGAGTCTGAGAATCAATACTGAGACCTTCCAGGACTGCCCTTTTTTTCCAAAAAGAGGAGGAGGATATCCAGGATTAATAGCTAATCCTTACCGTGCTCGTTCTGTCCATAAGGCCAAGCTCATCTTCTCTTAAAGCTTCGTGGATTGCTCTGGGGGATGTTCGAACCATCTTGTGGCTTCATTGTGGTCGTAAGCTTGCTTAGCCAAGATATCAGATACCTTGTTTTGCTCCCTTGGCGCATGGATTAACGCAATCTCCCACTGTCTGCTCTTGAGCTCTCTGCATTTCGCAATTAGGTTGCTTGCGGGTCCTTCATAATCATTGCTATTGTTGAGAATGGAGATGGCCATCGCGCAGTCTGATTCTATGATCATCTTCCGAAATCCCATCTCCCATGCTCTTTCCATCCCAACATATATGCTCCAGGACTGCCCTTTTTTCAAGGGTATTCCGACCCATACCAAGTACCATCTATCGATATTTATTCAACAAAAAGTTTATTAATATTCAAAAACTTATTAACTTTTATATATTATACCCCGTATCATATTAGAACTATGTAGACTTTATATATATATATATATATATATATATATATATATATATATATATATAACCATCAAACTCCAAACTTTTCAAATTGTATGAACCATATAAACTTTGGGGGACTTAGCTAGTCCACTACAACTTGAGAAATTAGATTTGAATACAAAATTAAAATTAGCAGTCTCTAACTATTTCATTTAGATGGTGCTCGGTTGAAGTTGCAGAAGCTCGCGCCGTCCTTGCCGGGCTCAAAGTCGCGTGGAGTTGACCTTCTCTAACATCATGATTCAGAGTGATTCTGTCAACGTGGTCAAGTATATTAATGACCCTCTTTTTGACACCAAAGGTGGTGGAACACTGGAACCCTGTGTAATGTTATTACTGAGTGTAAGGCTTGGATCATGAAGAACTGGAATGTCAAATGCTGCCACATTTTGCGAGAACAAAATCAAGCGGCGGATTGGCTTGCGAAGAATTATGCGCCGGACAACGAGTTTGGCCATCTTGTTTTTTTTGTCCCAATGACAAACTCGCGGAGTATATCCGTAACGATTGTCTAGGTGTTCCTTTTGTCCGCGGTGACTAATTTTGTTTGTTCCCCGGGGTTCCACCCTTCCTCTGTATTCAAAAAAAAAAAAAACCACTATACTAATAATTAAAAGGCTGAGGATGTGTTTGGTTCATGGGTTTAGTTATCATGAATGGGAATCAAAGACATTGTTATTGTTTGGTTGACAGATTTTTAGAGCACTACAATGAGATTTGATTACCCATTTAATTAGAAAACTCATTTCTCAATAAAATAAAAGTTGCATTCCATTATTATTCCCCCTCCAAATTGGTAATTTGAATTTTAAGTTTTTTTTTTTGATTTGTGCTTTTAGATTATTATTTTTTTGTTCATATTATTGGTGATTATACATTATTCATTTTATATGTTGTATAATAATAAAAATATTTTTGAAAGATAATTACTATTTAATAATAAAACAAATTATACTAGAGATATTATAAGGTGTTGAATGAATAATGTATCATCATTATTTATAATCACAAAACCTGCTAAAGGCTAACGATGGTCATATTATAAACGCTATTTGCAATTTGCAATACAAACATACATTTGATCCCTCTTAAGGGTACATTATATTATCACTTCACATCATATTTTCTTATTGTGAGGTATAAGAAGGTTGTTTTGAACAAACCAATTAAATCACTTTGGATCATCTTTGTCTTCTGTTGGTGTCACGTACCTACTAAGAACAACAAGAAAACCATGAGATGATTAGCACAATGCATGCCCTCTATGTGCCATTATTATTACAAATTTCCTAAATTGAAATTTTGAATGTACGGCATAAAAATATGAGGATAAGAATGCAAAATCAAGTCTTTAACCATTTCTTTTCCATTATTGTTTCTTATCAGATCATCCTTGCTCCGAAATAAGAATGCAAAAATAAGTCATTCGCATTATCGACTTATCGCGTATATAATTATTGCAAAGTGTGAGTGAGTACGTTTTGAAATTATAAAGGTGAGTCGAATAGTGGATATAGGACGTACCAGTTATGATTAGCCCAACGCGAGAGTTGATAAAGTTGGACGGATTCATTTGCAGCATGGCACGCCAAAAGTAGATGATTGCGAGGTCGCACCATCCAAGCAAATCTCATGCACAACATAGAAAACACGCATAACACTGCAAGTGCATGCTCCAACAACCAAAACGTGCACAACATATTATTATGAACTCATTTAGGGGCGTTTGGTAAATAGCTATTAGCTGATGATATAAAATATTTGGTAAATTATAGTTGATAGCTAATTACATACCAAATGACTTTCTCAAAAAGAAAAAACTGTTTTTTGACCCGTTTTTTGAATTTTAGTATTTTGAAACAAAATGTTGTTACAAAAAAAAAAAAAAAAAAAAAAACTAATTAATCAAACACTTATATTGGTTGTTTAACCAAGTCACACAGTTAATAATAGTGAAACAAGTCCAAATTAACTGATAGGCTAACTATTTTACCAAACTTGACCTTAATTTAATTGGAAAAAAAATTAACAATTTTCATCCTTAAATTATACAAACATTCATTTCTTTTAATTATATATTGTCGTCGCTTTTTGTTTCCAATTGTATGTGAAGTAACATTTTGTTTAACCCAACTCTAATATATGAATTAAACTTAAAAGAATTAAGGATGGAACCATTATAAGGGCATGGTTTGGTTGCCCTGGACAAGCTTTGAGTGAATTGACTAAATTCACTAATTTCAAATAAGAATTAATAAAATGGAGCCACATTACGTGTTATAAAATGTTATATGCAACAAGTTTGGTCCATTTAGACATTGACTATTAGGGGTGTGTTAATTTGGGTACGTGACTTTTAAAACTAACAATTTAGTCCTTTAACTATCATTTTTTTAGCAGATTTGGTCCTCCTGGCCAAATTGCCGGTGGAATTTGGCCGGAAAGACATTCGAATTTTTAAATCAAATATTAGTGGGGGTAATTCGGTCTTTTTAATTGTAAAAAAATAGCGTTTGATTTAAAAATTCGAACGTCTTTCCGGCCAAATTCCACCGACAATTTGGCCTGGAGGACCAAATCTGCTAAAAAAATGATAGTTAAAGGACTAAATTGTTAGTTTTAAAAGTCACGTACTCAAATTAACACACCCCTAATAGTCACAGGACCAAAAGTGTAATTTGCTCTATGCTTTATAATATGGTAAGTAGTATACTATTCTTATGGGTAATTAAGATTGAAAAATAAACATTCCCATTCTACCCAAGAGCAACATATGAACAAATTCTTTACCTCCAGTCATGTTGCCAGATATAGCGTCCGGAGGTTTCTTTACGTCCATTATTCCCTACACAAATCCATTAATAATGGAATTTTAAAAATAAATTTAATAAAATTAAGGCCTCATTTAAAAAAAAAAAAAACGTTTATATATAAGTATAACTCAAATTATTTACAATTTAATATTTTATATTAATTAATGTAGCATTGGTGCATAACTTTAAATTAAAACCCATACTTTTAAGACCCATTTGGCTCTCCCAATCCTATTTGAGGAGAAAATTAAGAAAAGTGAAAATGATCAATTGGGTCCACAAAATGGGAAATTCTGTTGCCTATTAGGAAATACGGAGTATATAATTACTAAACAAGCTCTTCCTTTTTCGAGAAATAATGGAAAATAAAGATCAGAATTGAATAAAAATCGAAAATGAAAGAATGAAAAATTGAAGAAAAAAAAAAAGAAAAAATCTCTAAAGAATTATTAGAGCTGGTAAACAGAATCTAAATTTCTCCAGTAAAGTTTTGTAGAACCCAAAAATTATAAAAAATTGAAGGGAATTGAAGTATGAAATGAAACATACTGCAATGACAAATCCCCAGTTTGCCATAGGACCCCAAAAGTGAGTTGTTTTAGGTCCCATTGGACTCCTCCAATAGCCTCGCAACGATGCCATCATTTGCTTCTTCGACGACCACATCTTCTACGGCACCTGGTACCTCGTACAACATAAACAGAAGGTTAATTTTTGTCTCAAAACACCCAAAAAAAAAAAAAAAAAAAAACAGCAAACTTCTGTTGATGGATTGTGATGATAGAATCAGTTTCAAAGCTGAGAAAATATGTATAGGGATAAAGAGATGAGCAGAGGCTGAGAAGATTTACCGTAATTCAATTCGTCGGAATAAAATGAAAAATGGTTTTCAGATCGAACTTCTCAGATAGAGTTTTTATTTTTGGGAAGAATTCTCAGATAGAGTTGAAAGAGTTGAAACCAAACTACTAACTACTAAGCCAATTCTGATACGTAGCTCCACAAGTGTAGGGATAAGTACATTTTTGTCAAGCATAATAAGTTTCCCACTAGTCTCTGTCACTTATTTGGAAAATAAAATAATAAAGAGAGTTATCAGGTGTGGTGTGTCGCATGATAGATTGTACAAAAATATTCATAAGTTGCTGGTTGTGGTTCACGCTCATGAAAGAAAGAGTTTTTTGCACTTTTAGTCCCACGACTATAGTGGCACTGGCAGAATTGATCCACGACTTTTGAACTTTGCAATTTTAGTCCACGACTATTGATTTTTTTGCAAAAATGGTCCTTCCGGCCATTTTTCCGTCAAAATTTCACCGGAAAAAAAATCTCTATTTTTAGCCGGGTTAAAATTAACATTTTACTTATCTCAAAAAATTAAAAGAAAAAAATTAATATTTGACTACATACAATATTACTGGGCTACATAATACTGCCCCAGGCGGCGGAGTACATGTACCACTCCAATGCTGCTGCCGGATAACCCAACTAGCCTGGGGAACGCCACGGCCGCTCCACCTCTTACTGACAGCCCTGCCTGCTCCAGGAACTCCGCCGCCTGGGGCAGTAGTATGTAGCCCAGTAATAATGTATGTAGTCAAATATCAATTTTTTTCTTTTAATTTTTTGAGAAAAGTAAAATGTCAATTTTAACCCGGTTAAAAATGGAGAATTTTTTTTTCCGGTGAAATTTTGACGGAAAAGTGGCCGGAAGGACCATTTTTGCAAAAAAATCAATAGTCGTGGACTAAAATTGCAAGGTTCAAAAGTCGTGGATCAATTCTGCCAGTGCCACTATAGTCGTGGGACTAAAAGTGCAAAAAACTCATGAAAGAAGTGTACTAAACTACTAATAGTAGACTAGTCAGTTGTTATACCATGGAATAAGGTCCACCTTGCATAAACTCTAGTCCTAAATTATGTATTTTAATATTAAAATTGTGAACAATTAGAATATAAATTATGTTTTTAAGTTGTGAGAATTTATAAATATAATACAAAGTCATCATAAATTGTAAATTATATATCTTTAAATTCGAATCTATTTTGCAAGGTGAATTCATGCCTATACTAATAGTCCTTAGTTACTTTTTTCTTTTTTAATTTTTAAATAGTGGGGCCAAAGTTACAGAAAAACCCAATGAATGTGGCTAGTTACTTTGTCATCAATTTGCCACGTTTTTTTCTTCAACGTAACAGTCCCTTAATTTATGGAATCGTTGGTTTATTGTCCCTTAATTTATGGAATCATTGGTTTATGCCATGAGTAATTTTACTTGAATTCCATTTTTTATTTTGAAAAATATTTTCGCTGTGTTTGGTTCATGGAATAGGTCGGGAATGGAATACCATTCCCAATAATAGACCTATTCTATTATTTAGTTTGTCTTTTCATGGCTGGGAATAGCATTCTCGGGAAGAACAAATTGCACTTTTGGTTCTGTGAGTATTAGGGTACTGGCAATTTGAGTACGTGACTTTCAAAACTCCCAATTTAAACCTTTAACTATGCTTTTTTTGGCAGATTTGGTCCTCCGGACCAAACTGCCGGCCAATTTTGGCCGAAAAATGATTTAATGGTTCGAATTATTTTGTGATGAGGGTAAAAACGTCATTTCACTCCCTTCTTCTTCACTCTCCCTTTCTTCTTCGTTCTTCTTCTTCTTCACCGCATTATGGCCAAATGGAATCATATTAATGGCCAAATGGAATCAACGCATTCAACTACCCAATTGATCGTATTGAAATGCAATACTTGTCGTCTTTTAATTGTTCGATCATTTGGCCATAATGCGGTGAAGAAGAAGAAGAACGAAGAAAGTTGTTCGATCACCGGCCGAAGAAGAAAGTTCTACGTCTTTTAATTGTTCGATCACCGGCCGGCGCCTCGTCCTCCTCGCTGGTGTAGTCCTCGTGCTTGGGCACCGGAGCGATCAATCTCCGGTTATCGTCGGCACTAACATGGTTCTTCTAGCTACTATCATCATGGCCGGACGTGGAACAAAACATCCTAAAAGACATCGAAAAAGACGGCGAGAGATGCAGTATCTGCAGGCGGCGATCTCGGAGGCAATGAGGCTGTACCCGCCGGTGCCGGTGGACACGAAGGCCTGCCTGAAAGATGACGTCATGCCGGACGGCACGTTCATCGGAAAAGGGTGATTCGCGACGTATCACACGTACGCCATGGGGAGAATGGAGAAGATTTGGGGGAAAGATTGCTGCGAGTACAAGCCGGAGAGGTGGTTGGACGAGAATGGGGAGTACAGGCAGGAAAGTCCGTTCCGGTTTCCGGTGTTCCATGGCGGGCCGAGAATGTGTCTGGGGAAGGAAATGGCGTATATTCAGATGAAATCCATTGCGGCTTCGATTCTGGAGAGGTTTGAGATTGAGGTGTTGTCGGAGGAGAAGGGAAAGGTTCCTGATTTTGTGTTGTCTTTGACTCTTAGGATGAAGGGTGGGTTGCTTGTGAAGGTTAAGGATGAAGAAGAAGAAGAACGAAGAAGAAAGGGAGAATGAAGAAGAAGGGAGTGAAATGACGTTTTTACCCTCATCACGAAATAATTCGAACCATTAAATCATTTTCCGGCCAAAATTGGCCGGCAATTTGGTCCGGAGGACCAAATATGCCAAAAAAATGCATAGTTAAAGGTTTAAATTGGGAGTTTTGAAAGTCACGTACTCAAATTGCCAGTACCCTAATACTCACAGGACCAAAAGTGCAATTTGTTCTTCTCGGGAATAAGCTATTCTCTTTGCAGGGGGAAGAACCATTCCTAGGGGACCCCTTGGTATTAGCTATTTTCAAGTATTTGGGAATAGCTTTTGTACTCTAATACCGAAAATATCTTTTTTTTTTTTGTATTATATATATATATATATATATATATATATATATATATATATATATATATATATATATATATCACCACATACCGCCACAACCATCACCATCGCCACCGCCACTAGCACCATTGTCCCCGCTGCCGCCGTCACCACCACCACTGCCATCGCCATCGCCACCATCGCCGTCACAACCACCACCAACACCACATATTTTTATAAGGGTATTTATGTCTTTTAAAACATATATCATTTTCATTCCTTAAATCAACCAAACACTGTAATATAATTCCTAAAGTCTATTCCTTTCACGAACCAAACAATAGAATACAATTCATATTATATTCATTGCCTATTCCATTCCTTATGGAATATCATTCCTATTACCTCAAAATTCATTACGGAATAATTTTGGAATGAATAGGAATGCTATTCCATAGGGAATGGAATAGGTAAGGAATAGAATATGAATTGTATTATAGTGTTTGGTTCGCTGAAGAAATAGACTTTAGGAATTGTATTCTAACATTTGGTTGGTTAAAGGAATAAAAATAGTATATATATGGTACTTCGCCCCAAGTGCTTGATCGCTTGCAGTCACATGGGGACGCATATGTTTTTGTACCTTGACAAATTACACAATGTACAATATACTCGTCTAAGAAGTGGAGTTGAAAGTCATAATACACATTCAATTAACATTTTTTTAATTATATACTACAGGTATATTCATGAATGACATACATGCTTGACTGGAATGTAGAAATTTCACGAGGATTTACAATATCTTTTTCAGTTTTCCGTTTTTTTTTAAAAAAAAAAAAAAAATTCCTTTTTCATATTTTGTTTTGTTTATGTTTATTCCATTTTCTATTCTCTCATTTCGCTTTCATAATCACACTTACAAAAACTCCTCAAAAACCACACAAAAAACCTCACTATTGAAGATGCCCTTATGCGGCTACTATCTCCGTTTGCCGACGATACTTGGACTAGTGAACCTGCGAGTGTGCAAGATGCAACTCCTGCAAGCTTTGACATGGACGGCGTTACAACGATTGGAGTTTGGGGGAGTGCAGTGTGCCAGCGCTTGATGGTGTAGGTTGTGCGGCTGTGAGAAGTTTAAAGTTTGGGAATTGGGTTTAGGACTTTAGGGTAGGGTGTGTGTGACAGCATGAAGGGACTGAAGAAAGTGAAGGCAGTGATTTGGTGAAGCTATGAAGTAAAATTAAACAATTTTTTTTTTAATATTAGTATTTAGTAGGTCGATCGCGGGCCAAACCCGCAACCCGCCCTACCTAGGTCCTTTAATTATTGGATAAAGAAAAATTAATGAATAAAAATCAGGACTTATTGATCTGGTCCCCTTTTATTAAGCAATTAAAGCAAAACACATTATAGGTGATAGGGGCATGGGGCATAGGGCCCAGGCCCAATGTCAATTGGGCCAAAAAAAGGAAACTCGATCATTAATTAGGTAATGAAATAATTGGAGCCCAATGGCATTGTTTTTGGGGCCTAAATTACGTTGAGAAATAATGTTTGGAGGCCAAAGTGTGGGGGTACGAGGGGCCAGAGTGCAAAGACTGAAGGGATGGTGTAAAGTGAAGAAGTGGAGAAAATTTTGGGTCAAAGTGTGGTAATGCATAAAGTACATTGTGTCATAGCGCAAAGCTTAGGAAAAGGGGCAAATAGTGCGTTTGACAGTAATATATATAGCACAATCCAGGAAAACGGGCAACATGGAGAAGCGATTTGCCTGGGCTATGGGGGCACCGACTAGCAACCCTAATGTTGGATCTGTGCTCGCGGGTGAGTGGCAAACCCCATTGGGTCGAGCCAACCAAAGCAGATCGTTGAAGGTAGGCAGGCGGACCGCTCTTGGGTCCACTAACCCTGGGCGTTTTCGCCCCTTACCGAGTCACCCCAAATTAGTTTAGACAGCTCATAAAAAATGGCGGACGGCTTGCCGCATAGTGAAATAGCCATGCAGGGCTAGGTGCGTAGTCTTTGGACAGTTGGCGAGGAACCTGAACATGCTCTACTACGTAGCGTGTTGGGATATGTTTAGCAGGAAAGCACAACACCTTATGGAACACGTGTATGGCGTGGGAGGGTGGAGCGTTGTGGTCTGCACACTTGTCCACAATGTGCAGCCCTATGAATAGTATAAGAGGCAGGGTGGCATTATTTTTAAACAAGACTTCTCCCTTAGTTAACGGCATTACATCACTTGTTTTATGAGCCCGCATGGAGAAAAGGCAGCCCAATAGGTATGCATGTAAAGAATGCAGTGAAAAATCCTAGTTGGGATTGCACGAGAAGAAGGCGGCCCAACAATTCCTCATGTGGGGAAGGCAGTTGAATTCTTATTGGGTTCGCAACTAGTGAATGTGTCCTTGTCCACAATGTGCAGCCTTATGAATAGTATAAGAGGCGGGGTGGTATTATTTTTAAACAAAACTTCTCCCTTAGTCAACGGCATTACATCGCTTGTCTTATGAGCCCGCATGGAGAAAACGCAGCCCAATAGGTCTGCATGTAAAGAATGTAGTGAAAATCCTAGTTGGGATTGCACGAGAAGAAGGCGGCCCAACAAGTCCTCATGTGGGGAAGGCAGTTGAATTCTTAGTGGGTTCGCAACAAGTGAATGTGTCCCCATGCCTTAAAAAAAAAAAAAAAAGAGAAAGAACAAATAGAAGTCGTACCAGCCTGTACAAAGAGAAAGTAGTAAAAGAAAAAATATTCTTATTTCTTTTTCCTGCATGAAAGACGCCCCAAGGAGCTTAGCTTACAAGTAGGGAATGTGGTTGAAAATCATCTTTGGTGGGTCTGTAAGCAGGGAATGCAATCCAAGGAAACACACCTCAAAAGGGGAAAAAAGAACAAGACAAAGGGTATGTTTTGTTTTTGGGCATCTGACAACTCGAACAATGATTGGACGTTGTGGGGTCAAGCTTGAGAACAAAGTTTGAAAACAATTATAAGATGATGAGAAATTTTTTATTAAAATTAGGGAGTGTAGAGGCAGTGATGCGAGAGGGTGAAGTCAATATCTACATAAAACTACAACTAGAGAAAACTAGGGACTCATGATGGGGCCATGGAGCTTGGGCTCAATGTCAATTGGGTTGGGGAAGGGATATCTGAGCATTAATTAGGTCTAGAAATAATTGGAGCCCAAGGACATTGTTTTTAAGGCCTAAATTGGATCGAGAAATAAAGTTCGGGGGTCAAAGTGTGGTAAAGAGTAAAGTACAAAGGGCTATAGTGTAAAGATTGAAGGGATAGGCCGGGGTGTAAAGAGAAGAGGGGGAGAGAGTTCGGGGTAAATGTGTGATAAGGCGAAAAGTACATGATGCCATAATGCAAAGCTTAAGGAAAAGGGTTAATGGCATGTTTGGCAACGCGGTATGGAACACAATCCCATAAATAAGCGGTGGGGATGAGCGGTTTGCCTAGGCAGTATGAGCGTTGGCTGGTAACCTCAGTGTTAGATCTGGGCTCGCGAGTGAGTGGTGGACCCCATAGGCGTCAAGCGGATCTTCGGAGGCAAGTTGATGGACCACTTGGAGTCCACTGCCTATTGTCAGGTCGCCTTGGCCCTCTGTAGGCAGTTGGAGGGCCCCGACTTAGTTCAACCGACTGGGGTGGACCGCCCAGATGGCCTACGGACGGCTCGTCGGGAGATGGCGGACAACTTATCGGGCAGTGAAATGGCTAGACAGGGGTACATGTGCGGTCTTCTAATGGTTGGCAAGGACCCAAAAAGTGCTCTACGATGTGGAGCGCGGGGAGATGTTTGGTGGGAAAGCGCAACACGTGGCGAGACATGCGTATGGCGAGGGAGGGTGGAGCGGTGTGATCCGCACACTTGTCACAACATGCGGTGGCGTTCGTTTCAGAGCATCATCAATTCTTCTTCTCTCTCAGTCAACTTCACAATACTTCCTTGTATTATGTGGTCCGCTAGTTAGTTATAGTGGTGCACCCCTGTGGTTGTGTTTGGTATCTTGCCCCTTGGGTCAAATTTACCCCCCCCCCCCTTCCAGGTATTAGAGAATAAAAAATGAGAGTATATGTAAAATTATTTTTCCTATATGTACCATATATCATTGCATATTACAATATAACAAAAAAAAAAAATCTTTTGTTTTTTGGATTTTCTTCCTGATTAAAATAGGAGAATACTACTTGAGACCCACAGGGAATAGAGTAGAGTTTGGTAGTCCATATATATATATATATATATATAGTAAAACTCATTAAAATATTCTATCATATATTTTTTTGAAAATAAAAAAGCTAATTCATTAATCATAGGCTGAAACGTTTACAATAAAGATCGATCGAATGATCAAACATTCATTACAGTCAGACATAGAAACAACTTTCTTAGCAATGCTACAGAAAACTTGATTCACAGACTGTTTCACAAATTTGAAGCTGAATTCTTTGGAAGAACTTAAAGCTTCTTTAATGATTTGGTCAAACGTACCCAAGACTGACACTAGTTGAATAGTCTTGCACACCACCTGAGTATCTATTTCCATTCTTCTATCCATTGACAATATCTCCATCAGATTGAACTGCATATCATAGTTCATAGGAGTCTCTTTTTCATTGTCATATTTGTCACCCAAGACGAGATTCACATACGCCATAACTAGTTTTATCGTTTCACGCTTTATGAAAAAGAACTCGCCAAGTAAACAAGAAGAAGAAACTCGTCAAAATAACGAGAGGAAAAACACGGAAACTACAAACAAAATTAAACCAGTAAAACAAAACAAAGGGAAACAACAATGCGAAAATAAGGGAGAAATGACCGGTAGCAGTGGGGATGGAGGGATGGGACAAGGCGTAACCGGTGACGAAGGCGGAGAATGGAAGAGAAGACAGTGAAGACAGAAAAGACAATGAAGGCAGACGTTGTCTGCGGTGGAGATGTAGAGTCAAGTTGTGATTTGACTAGTTGAGTTTTATTCTTTATTCATCTTGTTTCTTGATCTTCAATTGTACCCACAGCCAAAAAAAAAAAAAAAAAAACAGCTTTATTTTGAATTTTACAAGCTTACTTTGTGAGAGATGAACACATTATTTCACCAAAAATATTATTTAAATTTAAAATTACTTTCACTTGTGTTCAAATTTTATTAGAGGCAAAAAAAAAAAAGGATAAAAATAAAAGTTAATACTCAATTTGGTCCATCGACTATTATGATTTCACCAATTTGATCATCGACTACCAAAGTTGCTCAATTTAGTCCCTAAATATGTAATTTTTACATAAAATGATCAACCAACTATTAGGATTTTACCACTTTAGTTCCCAACTACTAAAGTTGTTCAATTTAGTCCCTAACTATGTAATTTTTATTTAAAATGGTCCATCGACTATTAGGATTTCACCACTTTGGTCCTCGACTACCAAAGTTGTTCAATTTAGTCCCCAACTATGCAAATGTTAACCTATAATGTAAGTTTTGTGTGAATTTGTGGACCTTTTTGGAGGGTCGAGAACCAAAGTAGTGAAATCATAATAGTCGATGGACCAATTTAGGTAAAATTTGCATAGTTAGGAACAAAATTGAGCAATTTTAATAGTCGAGGACTAAAATGGTAAAATCTCAATAATCGAGGGACCATTTTAAGTAAAAATTACATAATTATGGATTAAATTGAGCAACTTTGATAGTCAATGACTAAATTAGTGAAATTCTAATAATAGTGAGTGACCAAATTAGATATTAAATCATAAAAATCACAACCCCTATATATTAAGCAATCAAAACATGCCATATGTCCAAGAGTATAAAATGTGAGTACACCTAGAATACTTTTATGTTACCTAATTAAGAAAAATCCACTCATTTCACATCTTGTTACTTTATTCAACTATTCAAGCATGCATCTAACAAGTGAAAGAGCGAAGTTCCTTGTCTTGTTCAAGCCTGCTCATATCTTGATCAGCCATGGTGACCCATGCCTCAACTCCCCCAGGATATCTAGAATCCACCAGTATAACTGTGTCAATGCTACCAAACCCAGGAGTACTAACCCAACCTGGAGTCCCCCACCCAAAATCCATCTCATAAACTGGAAACCCACACCAACTTGTAAACCTCAACACCACCACATCTCTTTCCCCCATTAGCCTCCCAATTTGGCTAAAGTTCTCCTTCAAAACTTGAAAACCATTTTCGCCTCTCAGTTTTTTCAAATAGCTACTATCAATCCTTTCGCTTGCGGCTCTTAGCTTCGTTACCAAGCCAGGCCAGTCTTCCTCCCCGTCCGCCACCGCGCTCGCCGTCTGGTAGAGGTTCCCGAAGGAATATTCCGGCAGGGGCGGGTCCATTCCCCGCCGGAGATTTACCGGGAACGTGTTAGCTGAGACGACGGCGCCGGGTTTGTGCTCCTTTGCAGCCATACAGCGCTTCCACAGCAAGGCGGATACGACTTCCACACGCGACGCCGCCGGAGCAGTGTTTGTTTTCATGTGTTTGGCCTTCATTTCATCAATGGCGGAGGCGCTGAAAACGAAGCTCTTAGTCGCTACCGGTTCCGGAGGTGGCTGAAGAGCAGAGCAGCCTTCCTGCGGCTTGAAATCGGGTGTCCCTCTCGCCGGGAAAAGAGAGGATCCATTGAACACTGGACTAACCTATGATGCAGAACGCAAACGCATTCGGTGAGATCAACTTACAAAACTAAATTTGTTATCCGGAAAATAACACTTTTTCATTTCATCATGAGTTATATGCTTATATTTTTTTTTTCTCTGAATTATTCATTTATTTATATTAGTCACTCAATTATTTTAACAGTGACAATTATCTTGCTTTTTTACTTTAAATTAGGCCATTCTTACAATTTAGTGAACTTCTTTCAAGATGAAATCCTTGAAAGGTAATGTTTATTTTTTTTTTATGATAATATGCAAGAATAGCAAGCTGCACAAAGCTACCATGATGGCAGCTTTTGACTTTTATTTTTATTATTATAATTATAATTATAATTATAATTATAATATAAAAAGAAAGCAAGACCACTTTTAAAAGTAGAATTGTTTTTGAAAGTAAAAGAGTATTATATGAATGTAGAGACAAATAGTGAAGAATTTGTAAATTTGATAATGTGGAAGTGAGATTCACTTTTAAATGTGAAAGAGCATTGCAAAGATAATGTTAGCCGTCTTATAATTTTAATTTTAAACTAATGATAGTAATAGAATTCAAACTTGTTAAGGACCTTATGCTCTTGTGGCACCAAGTTACTTTTCCATATAAGAAGTCATGGGTTTGAGACTTATAAACAAATGGTGTCTGCTCTTTTTTGCATTTAATTTAATTCGACATATAAACAATAATTGTTGAAGAAGAAAAATAAATGAAATAATTGTTTGGTAAAATAGCTTATCAGTCAATTTTGATTTTTTTTTACCACTATTAGCTGTTTTGTCAAATAGCTAATATGAGTGTTTAGTTAATCTGTCTTTTATAACAACGTATTGCTTCAAAAAATTACTCAAAACAATTTTTTCTATCATTTTTTTATAAAATAAATTATTTTCTCAAAAATACCTCCAATATTTTTTTGTTTTAAAGACTACATAGACCGGTGCAACAGCCCTGTTACTCTTTGCATCAAAATGGACCATTAATTTGTCTTCTAACCATTAAGAATCTTATCTTATCAACTAACCTTGATCTCATCTCCGCAAGCACAAGCCGCCCAGCCTTTAAGGAATGCGCAAAGACTGCAAACATCCGCAACCCTGTGTGAAATACAGACCCCAATGGCCACCCCGCCGCACCTAAACAAGCTAACCTGCACGGCCAAAAGCTCTTCCGTTTTCGCCACAATGGCGGCGTTCCCCTCCCGGTAAGGAACGAGTTTCTCCGACTCCTTCCCCTCCGGCAACCCAATCATCTCTTGGATCATCCCTTCGCCTCGAGCCACCACGAAGCAAACCCCTTCGTCGCTACAACTGACCAGTGTTTGCCCCTTGAATCGGCCGGCCAGGGGATAGAATTTGGTCAGTGTTTTGGAAAGAGCACTCTTTAAACGGCTCAGAATCTGGGATTGGTTGGTGTGGTTGTGGTTGTGGTAGTAAAGAACCAGTGGGATGTAGAAGTGTGGGGTTGGTTCATCCAAGAATGAGAGATTGTAACCCACATTCTCTAGAGGAGTGGGAGTGGAAGGCTTGATTAGCTCTTTAGAAACTATGTTCAGCTTCATTCTTTCACTACTTTTACTTGCTTGAATGCTTGGAATTTGCTATAAGTAATGTATAAAGGAAAAATTAAAGACGCCGGAATTGTAGCCAAGCACTTTGTGCTCAGATGTCATGTAGTAACCTCTCCATGTGGGAGGTTTTTTTTTTTGAAAGCCTCTATGTGGGAGGTAATTGTAGGAGACATTTTGAAACTCATACCATACATCATACTAATCCCTATTCGCAGTGGACTGGCCCAATTAAAGGATCAAAGTGCTGGTCAGATTGGTTCTAGCCCAATTAAGCGATCAAAGTGCTGATCAGATTGGTTTTTCTATACGAAGGGGAGTTCGAACTTTCAATCTTTTTTAGAGGATGAGAGTGCACAACCACACTCACGCTAAGTAAGCTGGTTAGAGTTGTACATTTGTTTAACATGCAATGATGCAGGTATTATATATTTATATGTATAATGTTTGTACTGTTTAGATCGGATAGTACGTAGAATTCATTCTCTCGTGGAATCCCACTAAAATCTGCTTAGAGAATCTTTGCATCAAAATGGGACCATTAATTTGTCTTCTAATCATTAATAATTGACATATATATGCTAAACCGATTGAGAACAGTTGTTATTCAGTGAGGAGATGAATTAATTATAATAACACACTCAGAATATATAGATAATGAGAAATTATTTCTCAAAGTATATTAATGAAGTTGGAAAAATCAAACTTTGAAAGACTTTTGAATAGTATTTGTCATTGAAAAAGTATGTAATTTACGCTAGTATAAAGCATAATGTACACTATTTTAACTCATAAATTACATTATTCTAACTCATATAATATATTATTTTATTCATAAGAATTCTAACACATAAACTAATTTGGGACCTTTGGGTCCCTCTGGTGTACTAAAAAGAAAACAAATTATTCTAACACATAAAATACATTATTCTAACACATAAGGTACATTATTCTAACTCATAAAATACATTATATATTATTTGAACTCATAATATTTAACAACGCTATTAGACCGTGGTCCCCATAGCTGTTTGGAACCAATAATTTGCCGATTATCTAGTTCCAGGCCTAGTAATCAGGCCCAATTTGCCAAAGATCAATCGTTATGCTATGGACCCGTGTCCAGCATACATTGTGGACACAATAACGGTGCCGTTAGTGACACCGTTATCTTCCACCATTTTTTTTTTTTTTTAAATTTCAAACCGCTTCGTTATAGGAGCATATGTTCATAATTTTATCATTATATGTTCATAATTGTAAGTTCATAATATCAGAGCTCTGTGTTCATAATTCCATAATTGTACATTCATACGTCCATAACTGTACATTCATAATTCCGTAACTGTACATTCATAATTCAATAACTGTAAATTCATAATTTTTGAAGCTCTATGTTCACAGTTTTAGAGCTCTATGTTCATAATTATTTTATCACTATATGTTCATAATTGTAAGTTCATAATGTCAGAACTCTGTGTTCATAATTCCATAACTGTACTGCTGTACATTTATAATTCCGTAACTGTACATTCATAATTCAATAATTGTAAATTCATAATTTTCGAAGCTCTATGTTCACAATTTTAGAACTCTATGTTCATAATTTTATCATTATATGTTCATAATTGTAAGTTCATAATGTCAGAGATTTGTGTTCATAATTTCAGAAACGAATAACGTCGTTAACGGCGAGACAAAATCAATTTTTTAAAACTGAAATGCCGTCGTTTTTCCTGAAAACAACATCATTTTTCCTGAAAACGACGTCGTTTGGACTCGTGTCCACAATGCACTGTGGACGAGTCCACAGCGTAATTTGCGGTCAAAGATGGGGGAGAGAGCCCAGATCAGGCCCAAAATCATGCATTGTCCGAAATTACATAGATTTGGAAAGTGAAGGTTTTGGGGTTCCCGCTCTTCCGCACCATTTTTTGCCGCCACCATAAATCAAAACTCCAAACGCACTTAGATTTCATCATTTCAAAGAGATCGAGCATTTCTTCTCTGAACTTCTCCATAGAGAGAGAGAGAGAGAGAGAGAGAGAGAGAGAGAGAGAGAGAGAGAGAGAGAAATGCTGGGAAGAGTGAGGAGATCGTCGATTAGCTCGTTGGAGCAGTTGGAGTTGGAGAGGCAACCTCCCAAGCTCATGAAATCAGATTCTCTCTCCATCTATGGTACCTACGCGTTTAGATTTCCTTTACTTTCAATTTCTGTCCGGAAATTTCAATTTATTGGTACTATTTTAGATTTTTAGGTTGAATTTGAGAAACTGGTTTTTCTTTTTTCCTTTCCCTTAAATGTTTCCTGAGGAATGGGATATTCAGGGAATTGTCATTGTTATTATACTGTAAAAAGGGAAACATTAAATCGGGTAACAATTATATGGATTTTATTAGATTATGGAGCATTTGTTAGTGATCAATAAAATTTACTGGGATTTAATCTTGCATTTTTCAATACTTAAAGTAGATCTAAAATGTGCATATTAAAATTTTCAACTTTTTATTATAATGTATATATGACTTAACTGCATTTGAAGGTGTCTTGCTAAAACAAGCCTAAAGTGCAAAGTCTAAGGTATGGTATTGTTTTTTTTTTTTTTGTTTTTTTTTTGAAAACCCCCTATGGTATTGTTATTTTTTCTGTTACTATGGTGGTTTTGGTTAGTGTATAACTTGAAATCTAAAAAACATAATAAGCCTCAATTCAGGTCATATTCTTGGTTTATGTTATGTTAATTTTTTTTTTTTTATACATTATGTTATAAGAGTTGTACTATGCAATTTTGTGGACAAAAATATCATTTTTTTTTTTTTTAATTACGAGAGGAAGTGGTATACCCACATATACAAACTATTGTTTCTATTGAGGCTCGAACCCACCACCTCTTACATAAAGGAACACCTTGGTACCAGTGAACCACAAGGTCCTTGCTAACAAAAATGCATGTTATATATATATATATATACACACACACACACACACACACACACACACACACACACACACACACACTCAATTTTTTTTTAATATTCTTCAATGGTAATAATGTATGTAGACATTATATTGGAGTAATATAAGAAATAATTTCATTTCATTTAAATTTTAATTAAATGTTATCATAATTACATATAGTAATTTATCATATTTAAATTTTTTTACTTTAATAATATTAATCATACTATAATTATTGCTTAAATTATCAACTATATTTTTAATATAATATGAATTTTACAACTATGATTTAAAAAAAATATTTTAATATAATTAAGATTTTAATATTGAGTATTAATATTAGACATATATTTTTGCGCATCCTGCATATAAAATATTAATAGTGAAAATATTTGTCAATTGTGAACTGAAACTTAAATTGGGGCTATTTATAATAGGATAACTTGCTTCTTCTTGTATGATTTCCATTTATATTTATTGGCGCCCATGAACGGGCTGACTCATCATTAATTAAAAAAATAATTAGTAACCAATTAAATAATGACATATTATTGGAGGGAAAATAGAAGAGGTATTTAGCATTACTTTGTATAATATTGGTCAGAAATCATAGTATCCCCCAATTGGTATTACTAGTTTACTATACACTTGGGGAGTAACTTTAAATAGAGCATACTGCCCACAATAGTTGATTTTCAGTTTTTGCAATTAGGATTTTTCATATGGATAAAGTTATAGGAACCAAAATCTTTCACAATTTAACATAGTAATATTGGGATAGATGTGTTAAATTCCACGAGTATATGTATTTGTATATTATTGAGTAAGGTAGTGGGAAATGGTGGCTCGTGTTATTGCCATTGAAGGTCAGAAGTTTCTGAGTCCATAAATGATTTGGAGAGAGAGAGTAAAAGTCCTCCTTCAAGCATCTAGTGGGGTATTTATAGAAGATTGAAGGAGATATGCCAGAAGGTTGGCATGTACGCCACGTGCCCTTCATGCACTTGGCGGTCTCGGAGGCCCACGGAAAAGTGTGCACGTATAGAAGTATATTTGATTAGCTAATATCCTTCAAGCTTGGTTATCAATGTGCCCTTTTAAGGATTTATACCGTGGGCTCGGGAGTCCAGCTGATCTACCAAATCGGGGCGAGCATAGAAGGTCTAGAGCAGTAACCATTAAGTCAATTGGATGTTTAACTCTCAGGTTGGGTCAGTCAGGTTCTTTTCTGATGTTGGAATGGGACTTTCACCACTTATAGAGTTGGGGTCCGAGCAGGTATTCTGTAGGTATGGGTCAGTATGCCTGAGTATATTTCATATCAAGGATTTTTCGATTTTTTAAAAATATATCTATAATTCTCTTCAGCATGATCCATTTCATACAAGTGTTGAAATTTGTGGAGCAATATGTTCCAAATTTCCTTTGTAATGCCATCATGTAGATTCCAGTTCCTGAAATTCAAGATTCTTGGTAAATAAGCAAATCTCTCTTCTGATACTGCTAAAACCAAAGAACTGATGACTGCACTGCTGCATATGTACAGAAACAACTCAAGAAGCTTCTATTAGGCTTTCAAGTTTTAAAATGTAGCTGAGTTGCTTATCTGATCTGTGCTGCAGAGACTACACTGCTGAAGTTAAAAGAAGGCTCTCGGCGTCGTGATATAAGCTCATGTTTGGAGGATTCGAAAGGAGAGGAAGCATCTGCAATCGATGTGGATTCGTCTTCTTCTTTTGATTCACAAAGACAACAACCAAAGACCGGAAATTTGTCTCTTCCTTACCTGTTTTTAAGGTACAGAAGCTCTCGTCAGCCAGTAAGCTCAGCTGATGAGGATAGCTGTTCCTCTGCAACTACTTCACCTTGGCCTAGCATTGTACAAAGCAGCTCATGACACCACTTATAGCAGGAACATAATTCATGTAAAATTTGTACGAGAAGCACTGCTACTTTATTATTCTCATGTAACTTGATTTAGGATCACATTATTAGTCTTCTAACAACTGGTTGTTTATGTTGTTAGAATAGAGGTTTGTGACATCTGTCTATATGACTTATGAGTTTCTTGGCATGATTGGCAACATGCATAATTCACCATAAAGAAAACATTATGCTTACTTTTAAACATTTCACATTATAATGCTTGTTTTTTTTTAATAGCAATTTCAACAATTGTTTTTTACTGTCCAACAAGGAAAGAGATGAGGATTATAAAATTATAAAATATATATTAAAAAAAAAAATCACATTGACAGCGCCTTTGAGACCTTGAAAAATGGAAAATTCCTTTTTTTAAGAATACATACAAGATTCGACACTATAAAAATGATAATGGTAATTCCACCATTAACTACTTTATTTATGAATTTTATAGTAATAAAAATACAAATCTTGCTGAGACTAAATTTTTAACTTGCTATCCTCTTGCCAAGCTTGACTTTCGTGAAAAGAATGATTCTTTCGGATCAACATGAGAGGCTAACGACATTGAAAGAGGTTGACCTTGCTTCTCTCCTCGTATACTTCTCTTCCCATCGAGCTCCCTTCCTCCTCGATCCATAGGGACAAAATGTAGGATTGGTGCTAACAGTTCATCACAGAAGAAAAAATTCACTAAGTCGAGATCACTAACCAGTTGACCTTTGCACTGTAGGTACCCATTGTGCACCAATGTTTTTCTCAAAATATTGTGTTATTTAATAGGAAATTTCCTTAAATACATTTTGCTACAATGTCTTTTTACTAGAAAAAGAAAATAGATATGAACTATGTTGTCACATGTCATTTTCCTTATTTTCTCAACTCAATCAATATGACAACAATACTCATTTTGTCATTTTTAGAAAAAGGCAAGGCAAAAGCAAAAAAAATCCTTATTAATAATATAATATAGTTAGTCAATTGTATTTATTAAACAAGATTGAATGGACAAAAACTCACGCTAATACAAAATAATGAGATAAAATCGCATATAATAATACAATATGTATAAGACGGTAATAAATTTAATTTTAGTCTAACAATACATCATAAAGCTTGAGTATATAATAATAATAATAAGAAAAAATGTTACAAATTAACCACTGAACTATACACAAAAGTACAATTAGTCATCCAATTCAAAAAGTGCAAATAGGTCTCGATCAAATTTAACACATTCCTCAAATCATCGTTGACATGAGAATCATATTATTTTAAATTTTATTTTAACAATTTTTTTTTTTTTGAAAAAAAAAAACCACCCATCTTCATCTTCGTTTCCGGCTAGAGACGAGGAGGAATGAATTTTTTTTTTTTAAATTTTATTTTATTCAAAGTTATTAAAATAAATATTAATAAAAATAATATTTTTTTTAATAAAATGACTGCCACATCAGCAATGACCTGAGTAACATGTCAAATTTAATTAAATTGCATAATTTTAAACAATTAAAGAACCTAATTACTTGCACTTTTGGAACATTTTTCGTAATAATAAAAATAGAAGCGCATGTGTATGAATGAAGATAGAGAAGAAAAATAATGGAGGAAAGGATAGCCAGGGAAGAGGCAGTGCATGGAAAGGGCAGGGCAGCAAATTTAGTAGAACTGCCCATCTCATGCTCCCCCTCGTCCCCGTCTACCCTCTCCACCTTTTACCTCACAATCCTCAACCAAAACACCCCACCTGCTTTGCTTAAACCACAACACCAACAAACATATATAGCTGCCATAAATTTCTGGCAAGTGGACACTCAGTGGGTCAATGAAATGAATTGTGTTGCATGCCCAATTGCCCACAACTTTAATAGAAGGAGAAATGGCATACAATACAATACAATAGAATATAATATAGAATAGAATAGCAGTACAAATGGTAGTACCAGAAGAATTCTCTCCTACTTTGATTCATCAACTACTTACTACTGTACTGCATATCACTTATTTCATAGTTGTAGTACAATTGTACAAATTCAGTGTGCCACATGCAATGCAAAGCAGATTGTACAGTATTTAACACTATTATAATTAAAATAATTATCCAATTAATTTAATAACAACTAGCTTTGTAGTTAAGGGCAGCTGCATTAAAAATCTGCACATACTTCTCTGTACCAAAATATAAACAAAGAGGCCAGCCAGGCTTCAAAATCAAATGTACGTGTACTACTTTCTGCTTAAAGTTAGCATTATGGTATATTTGTTTCATAATTAGCAGAGCTTAAGCCATAAATACGCAACTGTAAGGACTAACAAACCATCTGCATACTTGAGGACAAAAATGGAATGGCATTCACAACATAAATGTAATCTTGAGGCAAATGTATATACAAGTATCTTATATCATAAAGAAAAGGGGAATGTAGATTAAAAGCCGATATATTTGTGTAAAGAATGACAAGAACCTTTGCTCCAAGTGAAGTAGGAAAAACAAAGCATGTTGATTTGTCCAATGCCCTGCCCAAGAAATTAAAGAGAGCATTAACAACAGAAATTAGGAAGCCCAATGTAATCTTTAGAGCCATAATGGCATCTTGTATAGTTGTATTATAGAGTCTGCATTTTTGGAAACACACAATCTTATGGATTTAAAAGGAAATTGAATGAAATAGAATAACATTGAAGTAGTGCATGGACAAATACATTATCAGCAGTCAGTAACAAAGTCATTATCTATGTCATATATTATTCAAAAGGCAGCAATACAAACTCCTAGAACAAGCACAGAAGTGACAGTAAAGACAATAATCAATTCATTTATTCAACTCGGGCAACCTCCATAACTCCAAGCGTAAGACCCCAACTGCCATCATAGGGTAGTCAAAGCTTGTGAATAGGCAACACTATCCTTTCTTGTCATAAGCAGCGATATTTTGAGGCTCACATTCTGGACTAAACAGGCGAACCAGCAATGCGGTGGTAGAGCTCGTAGAGACTGCTCCACAAGCCCCCCACCTAAAACTTCGAGGATTTGTGATTCTAGGGCCTGCATTACCATGAACAGTATGCAAGGATATAATTATGAATTATAACGGTGAAATGAATCCCAAGCAAGTATGCAAAAGCAGCAAAGAAGCATAAAACAGTTTGATTTCATGGGAAAAAAATTAGTCAAAAACAGACCGTAGTGCAAGCGGCACAGCACCCAAAAACCTAATGCTCCTCCAACTGAGAATATTGCAGCAGTTTGTCTCGTCAATCTGGAACAAGTCTTACAATCTGATCTCATCACCTCCCCATCAGAAAATCCACACAATTGCCTCAATGCCATGGTGCACTTCAAATCTAGTCTCTCAAATATTCTACAAGACCAATTGAAACTACATTACCTCATGCATCAAATATTTGCATATCCCAAAGTAAAACCTTGAATGAAGATTAATCTAAAAATCCAATATGGTAACAAAAATATTAGTCCTAACTCCTAAGGGCAATTAATAATTATACGCAATATTGTTTCAGTTGTTATGGGATATTTGAGTTAGCAAATACACAAAGAAACAAGAATGATAGATCAAGATATTAAACAAAAATAAGAAAAATAGATAAAGAGAGTCAATGTAAAGATTAAGTTGGGTGTACAGATGAAAAAAAATGCAGTGATTCAAATTCCTAGCATGACACAGGCATTTCATCGAACAGGTTTGAGGCGAAGGACAATTTGAAACAAACCAAAATATCATACTCCAAACTTAAGGCCATGAGTGCAAAAAAAAAACTAATTAGGGTTTCAGTGAGGTAATTATGAGATTTCTGGATTGGAAGAAAGGTTTGCTGCAGTGGCAGAGCTAGGATCACATTTGAAGTCTCAAAGCATCAAATAGTATAGTTGCAGCAACAAATCAAAATGCTTCATAGAAATGATAGAATATTATTAGAGTTGGGACTTGGGGGATTACGATTAGGGATTAAGGGTTTTAAATTATTGGAATTAGGGGATTTAGGAATAGGATTTCGGACCTGTTGCCGCTTTCCGGACGATATTTTTATGCAATTGCTGCGTTATAGTTACTCTCTTCGCCAGGGTGCAGTCTAATCTAAAACGGAGTATATAATTGGACCAATATTCGGCGAAGGAAAGGTGGCAGACGTGGCACAACGTTATTGGCTGAGGTCCATATATCACGCCATCCATAATTTTCTATTGTTTCCGTATTCCTTTCAAAGGGAGGAAGAGAGAGAAAGATAGAGACAGAGAGAGGGGCGGCTCCAGGCAGAAACGCGAACGCTAGCTACTCCTCCCTTTCCTCCCATTTATTAGGGTTTATTTTTTATCGTTTCTGCATTTTCCCGCCACATTCACCATCTCTTTTTGAAGATCTTTTGTTCGATCATTTAGCTATTCATCATCGTTGCTTGATTTTCCAGGTTTGCTCATCCTATTTTCTTATATTTTTGTTTTTGAATTCCTTTGGTTTGCTTCGATCGAATTTTTTATGTTTCTAAGAACGAGGATTTGACCGTTGAGATGGGATGAATAATCCGGAAAAGAGAAACGAATTCTTTCAGTTTGATTGGTTCTGAAATGGATTGTTCAGATGACGACTAGTCAAGGAGGAGGATCGTCGAGGAGAAGCCTGTCGTCGACCAGCTCCTTGTTGCAGACCAAGAAGAAAACAGCGGAGAACGAAGAAGGGGGGTTGGGCGATTCAGTTTCCCGAAAGTCTTTTTCTGCGGTTCGCTCCATGTGCGGTTGTCTTTCCCTTTCGTGTTAATTACTGTAACTATGCTGTAGCATGTTAATATAAAGCTAGTCCTTGCGGAATTCTACGGACTATAATAACTTATCACTCAATGAAACATGTTTACTAATTGATGATATTTGCTTGCAGTTGACTTTCTGTTTGAATTACTTTTTTCTTTTGATTCTCTCCAACTTGAAGTTTGATTCTGTTTAATTCTGCAATGATGTATTTTGGTACTTATATTCATCAAATTCTTAGGTTTAGTAAAAGAAGAATATATGATGCACAGACAGATTGAATAAATGAATAAGAATTCACTTGTATTCCTGTTTTTTGTCTGGGTGCTGTGAGGCTTAACCATAGCATACTAATGTACAATTCTAAGGCACAAAGACACTATACCTAAAAGTAATTATAAGCAGATATGGTCATATGTTGTTGTTGTTTGTTCTTACTTGTATGTTATATATGTATTTTATTTTCTTTTTGCTCCTAAAGCAATGGCATGATAGAAAGTGCTGACTAGTATGCCACACCTCTCCCCTCACAACACACACAAACACAGTGATTGTCAGCCTAAAGACTGAGGTTCTGTCAAACTAGAACACTTATCAATTCCAAAAGTTTCATTTATACTCTTAATTATTTAATTTATTTATTGAGAAAATCAGGTCAGTGTTGAATAGAGGGGGAGGGTTAATGAAAAGAACGTATACCTTGTTACTTTTTTAGCATTGGTTATTGCAATGCTTTCTTTTTGTGCCATCCTCTTTAAAACAGTCCACTCGTAACTAGATGTATCCTCTGGTGGAAAATTTTGAAGCTGTTCCACTTGCCAGAGTAGTAGTGATGTTAGAAGTAGAGAAGAACCAAAGCTAAAAGGCAACAACAATGAAAGGCCTAATTTACTACCTGTGATAGAAGAGAGTAATCATTTGCAGAAAAAAGAAAGATGCATATAGATTAATCGATTCCTGTCCCCCAAATTGAAGTTGATTTTATTTACATACTCCGTATCACTTAAAGATTAATCTTTGGTTAGTTTAATAAGTGATGTGGATAAATTTGGTGCAGAGCACTAACAGGAGAGCGGACAGTGAAGAGATTGCGGCTGTCAAAAGCCCTAACTGTACCTGATACAACAACTGTATATGAAGCCTGCCGTCGTATGGCTGCCCGTAGGGTCGATGCATTATTGCTTACAGACTCAAACGCATTATTATGTGGGATCTTGACGGATAAGGTTTGTCATGAATAATGTATGGTGCAACTCTACAACATTATCATATAAGCATATTCTGTGTGCTTTGCAAATGCTTCTTGGATCATTGATGTGGATATGTTTTATTAACTTTATTTTGGTTTTGTTTATGTGAATGAAGGATATTGCAACTAGAGTAATTGCTCGTGAGCTTAATATTCAAGAAACACCTGTTTCTAAGGTTATGACAAGAAATCCAGTTTTTGTACTTTCTGACACTCTTTCTGTTGAAGCCTTGCAGAAAATGGTACAAGGTAAGGATTGCTTCACTTTTTATATTAAGCGAGATTTTTTTTTTTAATATGGCAATATTGAGTATCTTGTCTTTGAGTGCAGGAAAATTTAGACATTTACCTGTTGTGGAAAACGGGGAGGTCATTGCTTTGCTTGATATAGCAAAATGTCTCTATGATGCTATTGCTCGCTTGGAAAGGGCAGCTGAGAAAGGAAAGGCTATTGTAGCTGCCGTTGAAGGCGTTGAAAAGCACTGGGGTGCATCTGTGTCTGGTTGGTTATGAAAACTTTCCTTATTATTATTATTATTATTATTATACCTTTCAGGCTTGTTTCCATTAGATCTTACCCTATTCTTGTTGTTTAGTTATACTTGTTCAATTCATTATTTTAAGTGATGCATGCTTTTTTTTGCTTCCTTAATATAGGCAATACATTTGTTGAAACACTGCGAGAGCGGATGTTCAGACCCTCCTTGTCTACAATTATTCCAGAAAATTCAAAGTAGGTAATATCCTTACTTTTAAGTTTCCATCGGGTGTTTGGCATGCTTTTTGCAAATAACTATTTGTGAGTTAGATTTCACTCGACTTATGTCATGATGTTGCTAGGATTATCACAGTTTCACCAAGCGACACTGTTGTAGAGGCTTCAAAGAAAATGCTTGACTTTCGAATGAGTTCTGCAGTTGTAACGGTAGACGACAAACCACGTGGAATTCTTACGTGAGTGCTTTTATGTCGTAAACATTTTTTGATTTCCACTTTTAATTTTATCCCACACTCAACATATGCTGATAAGCTTGTCCCGATAACCTTTTTAGTTCAAAAGACATCTTGATGCGAGTCATAGCACAAGATCTTCCCCCTGAGTCGACTCTAGTGGAGAAGGTAACCCTCATTTGCTCATTAGTAAGACAATTTGTTTTGTTTTGGGTTTTACTTAATGTATTTCTAAACATTTTTTAATCTGATTTTTTGGCCCAAAAATTATTTATTTTTGCTTATTTCATTGAAATTGTAACAAAGATTTTCTATTGGTAATACAGCTAATAAAATGCCATGAGTTTCAGTTTCTTACTGCCTCCAGTGCTCCTTTCAATGGTTTTTTGGTCAGTATTTTGGAATTGTCTCCGTTGTCCAAAGACCAATTTATTTGTATATACTAAATCTGGCTCTTATCCAATGCCAAGATCTAAGCCTATATAGCTTTTTGTGGCTTTCTCCCACTTTCCCTTATGCTGGTCGTTCCATCTGCCTTATCTCTTAGTCATTTTGTCCTACCTTAACCTCTGTGTTTGGAAATTACTGGTTTTTAGTTAACCTAGGTGTTTATGAATTTCTTTAGAAACAAGTTAGGAGGCAATGGTGATAGGCTTAGTAGCCTGAAGCTTGCCCCTTTCTCTACCGTGCAAATGTAAGGTGGTACTAAGGTTAATGTTCATCAGCAATTTTCTTTTAGTTGATTTAGATTAAGGGACTTTTATGGTGGTATTTCACAAATGAAATTTCAGTAGAAAAGGTGATCTTTTGGAAGATGGCTTATATTATTATAAATAATGCAATTCCTTGATTTTTACAGTTATCCTTGTTTTTTTTTTTAATGGATTTGAGTTAACAATTTGTGTCATCATATCATTGTTATAAATGGACATATGGGAATGGTCTCAGTTCACTTGTTGGTAGCATTGTCTACTAATACACTAAAACCTTATGGATTTTTTACTTGATAAATAGCAATGTGATAAATTTCGCAATGCTCTTGTATATGTGAATTTAATTTTATTCATTTGGTGTTTATTGAACCACTAAGAATATTTGGATATAATGTGACAAATGGTAATATAACAAAAATTGTAGGTGTCTTTTGCTTATTAAATTAAATTTTGTCAGTTTTGTGTCATCCTTTGTATAAACACGTGCGCGCGCACACACACACACACTATATATATATATATGTATGTGTATATATATATATATATATATAGGGTGCGGCTCTCGTCTCTTGTGCGGTCACGTGCGGACATGTCAAAGCCGTAGGATGAGCTGAGATAAAACGGATGAAAATCAATGAAGAAGGGATAATACGCTGTGGCAATTTCGTAATTTCATGATATTTCGACGGTGTATTACGTTTGGTGGTGCACCACAAATCAGCACTAAGTGCATTGCCGAAATATACATGGTGCACAAAAATACTTAAATGCCAGTGTTTTTTCCTTTATGATTGATTTTCAGCCACTTGGGTGGTGCACCACAAAGCATCACGTAATGCACCACAAAGCACTCATAAGTGCAACATACACCAACACCCAATGCACCATTGAAACATACACGGTCAAGTGGTCAACAAAATTACAAAATTGCCATCGCTTTTTTCCCTTCTCTTCATTGATTTCCATCGGTCTGATATGATCTCATCCTAAGGTTCTGATATGTCCGCACGACCACACGGGAGAACATGATTGCATTTGAACCTATTTCTCTCTCTCTCTCTCTCTCTATATATATATATATATATATATATATATATATATATATATAATTGAACCAATAAGAATTTGTATTTAATTATAAATAGCCCACCATTTGGCTAGTTGAGCACAACTAGTTACTCTATAATGGATAGTATTTCAGTAAACAGCTTTAGGGTCAAATGATCACTATAAATTTCTAAATATTGAACAAAAGCATTTTTCCTAAATGAATACTAAACATAAATTGGTGTATTTATCCTAACCAACATAACTATTGCCAATGATTATATATAGTAGTAATTTCTCTCTTTTGCAAATACATTTGTTAATGCAGTGAGAAGCATACCTCTGTGTAGCTCTCTCTTATTCTGTGTGTCTCTAGGGTTAGTCACCCACTCTTTAAATACAAGCAGATTCTAAACTCATATGGTATGCAAATATTTAGTTCCCTAAAATCTGGAATACTCAATCACAGAATATTCTATAACACTCCCCCTCAAGTTGGAGCAAAGATATTGATCATGCCCAACTTGTTACACAAATAACTGATTCGGGTTCCAGTAAGGGCCTTTGTGAATAAGTCCCCGAGTTGTTCTCCTGTCTTCACAAATCCTGTGGAGATTAACCCTTGTTGTATCTTCTCACGTACAAAGTGACAGTCAATTTCTATGTGCTTAGTTCGCTCATGGAACACCGGGTTTGATGCAATATGAAGAGCAGCTTGGTTATCACACCATAGCTTTGCAGGAATTGGAGCTTTGAAACCAGACTCATACAAAAGGTTGTGTATCCACATCACTTCACTTGTTGATTGTGCCATCGCTCTATATTCAGACTCTGCACTCGAACGAGATACTACATTCTGCTCCTTACTCTTCCAGGAAACCAGATTACCTCCAAAGAAAACACAGTATCCAGTTGTTGATTTACGATCCTCTTTAGAACCTGCCCAATCTGCATCAGTAAAACACTCAATCCGAGTGTGACCATGATTCTTATACAAGATTCCGTGTCCCGGGGCTCCTTTAAGTAACTCAAGATGTGCTCCACAGCTGCCCAGTGATCAATAGTTGGAGATGACATGTACTGACTCAAAACGCTAACTGGATATGCAATATCTGGACGGGTTACAGTCAAGTAGTTTAGCTTCCCAACCAATCTCCTATATCTCTCAGGATCTTCAAACAATTCCCCCTCCTTTGTCAATTGCAAGTTTGGTATCATGGGAGTGTTGCATGGTTTAGTCCCTAGTTTTCCCGTTTCAGAGGGTAAGTCAATAACATATTTTCGTTGAGATAGTAATATACCTGTCTTGTTCCTCATAACTTCGATACCTATGAAATACTTCAGTAGTCCCAAATCTTTTGTTTGGAATTGACTGTGAAGAAATGACTTGAGAGACAAAATCCCTTCGGTGTCATGACAATGTCATCTTCATAAACCACCAACCAGATGATACCTGTTTTGGACCACTTGTAGAACATGGAATGATCCGATTTGCCTTTCACCATCCCAAAATTCTCAACAACCTGACTAAATTTTCCAAACCATGCACGTGGACTTTGTTTCAGCCCATACAATGATCGCCGAAGACGACATACCTTCCCAGACTCCCCCTGAGCAACAAACCCAGGAGGTTGCTCCATATACACCTCTTCATGAAGATCCCCATGCAAAAACGCGTTCTTGATATCAAGCTGATGCAAAGGCCAATCATGAATGACAGCCATTGAGATGAGTAAGCTGACAGAAGTAAGCTTAGCCACAGGTGAAAAAGTGTCAGAATAATCAACTCCATAAGTTTGGGCATATCCCTTAGCCACAAGACGAGCTTTTAATCGAGCCACAGACCCATCAGAATTAACTTTGACGGTAAACTCCCATTTACAACCAATAGGTCTTTTACCTGCAGGCATAGTGACCAACTCCCAAGTACCGTTGTGATCTAAAGCGTTCATCTCCTCAATCATGGCATTTCGCCACCCAGGATGGGACAAGGCGTCCCTAACAGTCTTAGGAATGGATATAAAATCAAGGGAAACAATGAAAGAACACGAGGCAGGTGACAGCCTATCATATGATGCAACAGAGGATATAGGATAAGTACAACTACGTTTACCTTTCCGGGTAGCAATCGGACGTTCATCAACTAAGACTGGATCAGATGACACAGAGGTGGTGTCAGGGCATGGAGCCGAATCTGGAAGGGGAGCTGGAGGCGGTGCCGGTACGAGTGTGTCAGGCCGAGGTCGGCGAGAATACACATGTAAGACAGGAGGGGTAGGAATAGACGCCGTGATAGTATACATCAATATATCTTCCTCCTCCCCCTTACGAACAACCTCTGGGGATGAAGGAAAGAAAGGGACGTCCTCATGAAAGGCAACATCAATGGAAATAAGATACCTACCAAGCTCTGGAGAGTAACACCTATACCCTTTTTGCACACGAGAATATCCAAGAAACACACACTTCAAGGACTTGGGATCTAACTTGGTGACATGGGGTCGAACAAAGCATACACAGCGAAATATACGCGGGTCAACAGGGAACAAAGACTTTGAAGGAAACAGAGTGTGGAAAGGTGTTTTCCCACTCAAGACCGCAGAGGGCATCCGATTGATCAAGAAACAGGCTGTGGAAACGGCATCAGCCCAAAACTGCTTGGGAACCCCCATTTGAAACATCAAGGCTCTTGCAGTTTCAAGCAGGTGCCGATTTTTGCGCTCAGCGACCCCATTCTGAGAAGGCGTATCAACACAAGAGGACTGATGTAACATACCCTTCTGACGCATATAAGAGACAAAAGGGAGTGAAAAATATTCTTTAGCATTGTCATTGCGTAAAATTTTGACAGGAACACCAAATTGAGTCTTTATTTCAACGCAGAAGCCACAAAACACCTCAAAAAGTTCAGAACGAGACTTCAGTAGATATAACCATGTTATTCGAGAAAAATCATCAACAAACGTAACAAAATATTTAAAATCGAGTTTGGAGGTCACAGAACACGGACCCCAAATATCAGAATGCACTAACTCAAAAGGAGCAGACGCTCGTTTGTAAACTCTAGGACTCAAAGGCACACGATGGTGCTTGGACAACTGACACGACTCACAATGTAAAGAAGACAAACTTGAAAACTGCGGACATAATTTCTTCAACAAGGGTAGGGAAGGATGTCCCAAACGACAATGAGCTTCTACTGGAGTGACGACACCCGAACAAGCAACAGGCTCCTGCCTCGTGGCGTCAAGAACGTAGAGGCCCCCAGACTCGCGCCCCTTACCAATAACCCTCTTCGTCAAAAGATCCTGAAACAAACAATAATCAGGGAAGAACGTAATAGAACAGTTTAAAGTATGGGTAAGTTGGCTGACCGAAATTAAGTTGAATGAAAAATTAGGTAGATGCAAGACAGAAGACAAGGGAAGCGAAGGGATGGGCGTAATGGTACCGGACCCAAGAACATGGGAGGTAGAACCATCTGCTAAGGCGACGGGGGAACTATGTGGGCGAGAAGAAAGTGTGAAAAACATACTAGAGTTACCTGTCATATGATCCGTGGCACCCGAGTCTATAACCCACTTGGAGGAGGATGAGAGAAGGCACATAGTTGCATTACCTGAGTCGGCAATAGCAGTGACCGAAGAGGATGAACGCTTTAAAGATTCTTGATACTCAGAGAACTTGGCAAACTCGTCGGCAGATATAGTGATCAACTTGGAAGATGCCTCAGTTGTGGAAGCAGCATTAGCAGTCGGATTTCCTCGCTCCCTCAACCATTTCCTACTGTCCCTTTTTATGTGGCTAGGCTTATGGCAATAATGACACACAATACCACCAGAAGTGTATCCCTGGGAATTCTTTCCATTCCCACTGCGAGGATGACGGCCAACGAGAGCATTGTTGGATGGGATGGCAGCCTCAGGCATACTTGGTTGCGATTGCACCGATCGACTCAGACGTGGAAAAACATTAGCAAGAGAAGGGATTGCAGAGCTACTAAGAATTGCAGACCTCGCCGTGTCAAACTCAGAAGGGAGACCTGCCAAAAAACTCAGAACAGCCAATTGTTCACGTTGGTTTTGCTGCTCTTTAATGTCAGCAGTGAATGGCATAAGCTGATTAAGTGCCTCATAAGTCTTCTTAAATTCCATAAAGTATGCAGGGAGAGACAAATCATGTTTTTCAGCACGGAAAAAGGACTTACAAACATCATAAACATGAGTGATATTCCCTTTCCCAGCGTATAAGTATTCCAAATACTCCATCAACTCCTTAACAGATGCACAATGACTAATGAACCCCACAATACCCTCATCAATGGAATTACGGATTTGTAGGAACAAACAGGCATCATCTCGTACCCAAGTAGCATCTTGGTCAGCCAAAGGTTTGGATAGGTGGTCACTCTTATCCAAACTAGTAAGATAAAGCTTAATGACATGAATCCATTCCAAGTAATTGGAGTCATTAAGCTTACAATCCGTGATTTTAGAATTAACAGGAACTATATCAGTGACAACCACAGACGTATTCCCAGCCATACCCACAAATTTTTGACCGCAAACTGATCAGAAAACACACAAAAAATGGAGCCGAAGGGTAACGAAACAACCTGACCTTAGAACCGAAAAGATCAACGCGAAACTGGTCCAAACTGAGCCCGGAAACGAGACCCCCTAACTCAGGCGACCCTGGGAAGACCGACCGGAAGAAATTCCGGTCGCCGGAGAGCCCTCACGCGCCGGCGGCGGCTGTCGGTGGCGCGTGAGCTTCACGCGCAGGTCGGTTCGGCCTGAAAATTTCCAGGCAAGGTCGTCGGACGACGGCGAGCAGCGGAGGACCGGCGGTGAGAACAGGAGACGCCGGAAAAAAAAAAACTATCGCCCTAGTTCTGATACCATGTTAATGCAGTGAGAAGCATACCTCTGTGTAGCTCTCTCTTATTCTGTGTGTCTCTAGGGTTAGTCACCCACTCCTTAAATACAAGCAGATTCTAAACTCATATGGTATGCAAATATTTAGTTCCCTAAAATCTGGGATACTCAATCACAGAATATTCTATAACAACATTCAACTGATTGAATCTGTATACTGCTTGGTATTATGGATTTTAACCTCCAATATTTCTAGATTTCTTTCTATTTGAGTTTTTGCTCTCCCTTATTGTCCAATGTTTTTTTCTTGTTGAGCTTAGCCTTCATAAAAAATTGTAGCCTTATGATAGATTCCTGCTAATTACTAATGTTCTGCAGCACTAGATGAAATCCTAAGAGGGTTAGATCCTATTTTGTGCAAGTTTTCTTGCAAGCATTGCACAAATATGCTTTATATCTCACCTTTCATTACTTTGTTTTTGCTCTAAAATCCAGGTCATGACCCCTAATCCAGAATGTGCAAGTGTTGATACACCTATAGTTGATGCTTTACATACAATGCATGATGGCAAATTTTTACACCTCCCTGTTGTTGATAGAGGTAACCTTTCAAGGCATGCAAAAATCTTGATAAATTATGTGCTATTGTTCCTTACCATTAAATTTATGATCTGCTGCAGATGGGGTAGTTGTTGCTGTTTTTGATGTGATTAATATCACTCATGCAGCTATTGCCACGGTAAGACACTTGTAAATATGTGTGTGTGTGTGTGTAGGGGAGGGTTCTGGTGAGAACATGCTCCCATGGGAAAAGCGAGGACTAATTTGGTCCATCCATTTGGGTTGATAGTTGAGGGTTGCTGGAAAATAAGGAGAAAAAAACTAGGGTTCTGTTTATAAATATTGTGAACTTCAAAATTTTCAATACTTATAAAATTGACCCCGTGTTTTTTTTACTAAAACAGTAAAACCCTCAACCAATTGTTGAACCCTAATGTACGGCTGAGATTAGTCCTCACTTTTTACAGGAGGACCTAGTTCTCATTTGATTCTTCCTTGTGTGTGTGTGTGTGTATTCATTGTCTTATATACACACATTATGCTTTGGCAGACGTTGGATTTACTTACATCATAATTTTTAATGCATGTGAGATGACCTTAGTGTCCAAAAACTCTTCTAAGTTCTCTCAATTCTGAAAGCTCTTAGTTATTATCTTTTGATTAGTAATGAAAACACTTAGTTAAGTTTGTTTAATCACTTTAATCCAGAGATAACTTTTTGCATATTGATAAAAATTCACTTGGTTTTCCACATTTGTATCCCTGTTCTGCACCACCCTTAACAGCTCAACCCATTACATGTATAAGTGGCTGCTCATGGTCCTTCAGTTATACAAAAGTTAGCCAATATTAATCTCAATGTCATTACTTGATGGAGGGACTAGTTATAGTTGAATTTGTATACTTGGGGTACTATCGCTGAATACTAAAGTTAGTTATTGTTATTTCCTTACAAGGTTCCATAGTTTCGAATAACATTTTGCTAGAAGAAAAGGGTGGGATCATCATTTCAATGAGAAGTTCAAATTTTTTGTTCTGTGACAAAAGTTAAAAGTTTCTCTAAATCTCTAATACACTCAATTGTGAGTCCCAGCTTTCTCTGTCATTGGTGGCTTTGTTCAACACTGTTTTTGCCTTTTTGGACATCTTTTATCTATATAAAAATTTTAAAGCTAAACAGTTGGACAAAACTATGAAAATGTAATGAAGAACTTCTCTTCAAAGTCATGTTGCTCAGCTTCATAACCAAAACTTTGCGACATGATAGTTAAAGAAATATACACAAGAATTTAAAATTGCTTGTTTAGAGTGAAAAGAAACTAATTTTGTATGATGCATTGACAGCCTAGTTGTATGTACTAGTTATGGGAGCATTTTTATAGATCATTTCACATCCTTACTCTTATTTAAACAGGCAGGAAATACTACTGAAGTAAGTAATGAGGCTACAAACTCTATGATGCAAAAATTTTGGGATTCTGCCATGGCACTGACCCCTGATGATGATGAAGAGACACGTAGGTTGTGACCTACTTTCCTTATTTGTTTTTTCCTTTCATCTTCCTTTATGTTGTTTGTTTCTAACATTAGTTGTATATCAGTGACATTTCCCTAAAAATGGCTTCTGAAGGAGGAGTGGAGACAGGAAGAGCTCTTCCAATTCCTTCATCAATCCTGCCAGCTGCTTTTGCATTTAAGATTCAAGATAGAAAGGGAAGAATGCACAGGTTCACATGCGGTATGTCTTTAAATGATTTTCATGTATGGATGTTGAAAAACGAAATTAAGCAACAAGCGTACAAATGCTAAATAAGAAATTGGTCAAAGATGGGTAACATGTGGGAAGAAAAGTTGGACACTTGAGGATCAAATTACCCGTACTTCCTAACCCTAATTCATTTTAATTTATTATAATAATATTACGGAGTATAATTTATTATAGGTCATGGATTCATGGAATATAATTCATTTTTTTTATTATTATTATATATATTATATATTACTTATTCCCTTTCAGTTCTCTTGTAAATGAAACAATATAATAGAAATTCTCAGTGATTCTATTTCACCAACCAAAGAATAGAATTTGAATTCCTACTTCATTCTCTCATCATTGCTCATCCATGGAATTGCTATTTTTTTTCCCTTCCAACCAAACACCCCATTGAAGTATTATAAGCTCTTATGGTGGCTTCTAAAGATTACTATGCATATCTGTGATTCTTCATGGATCGTGGTGCGGAATTGCTGACTCTTAATTTTATTGGAGTTCAGATACTCAAAGCATGACAGATCTCATTGCTGCAATTCTTCAGAGAATTGGTGATGACATTGACCGGAACAAGCTTCCTCAGATTCTGGTAAAGTTGTCAACGATTCAGCCATGGCAAATTATTGTGTGGACCATGGTCCACACAATGTTATGTGGACCATAACAAAATGTACATTTTTAATATACTAAATGTACATTATATAATATAATGTACACTCAGTCCAAAAATAATGTACATCCCCTGAATACAATGTACATTATTTTTGTTCTGAATGTACATTATTTTACAATATACAAAATATGGTCCACACAATAATGATTGTTCAGCCATTCTTCCTCTTCTTTCTGTGCATTATTTACTAAGCCCATGATGGACCTCTGGTTGCAGTATGAAGATGAGGATCACGACAAAGTCGTACTTGCATCAGATAGTGATCTTGTTGCTGCTATTGAACATGCAAGGTCAGCTGGTTGGAAGGTACAGGCTCTCTTTTAACATTTTTATTATTATTTCTCTCCATTTTTTTATGTATAGAACCTAGGCCTTTAGTATCTTCAACATAATAATGACTTCGTTTATTGCACAGGGGCTAAGGTTGCACCTAGATTATTCTGCATCACGTAGGCGGGATTCTGGTTATAGTAGCACAGACTATGCTCAAGCAGATGCATGGGCATCGGCATACAAATCTGTGGCAGCTGGTGCTGCATTAGTTGCTGGTTTAGGAGTATTTGCTTTCTTAAGAAGATCGGGTAATTGATTATCCCTTGGAGCAATCAGGTTTGGCTGGCTTTGTGGACAAAGATTGTGCAATTCACGTTGATTGGTGAGCTGTGCAATGTAATTTGTATTTGTGGGCGGTTTAGTATTTAAGGTGTTGTCTATATTACGGAGTACATTATATTATAAATTTATAGTGCAGTGCTACTCAGCTTCTATACATTATTGGTTACTGAATAAAGTTGTCTTCAACGAATGAACTGGCATGGTTTGATAATTTTTGTGCCAGTAGTGTTGAGAATTTAAGATACCATGGTGAATTGGTTCCACCTTTTTCAATGGAACTTTGGATCCGTTATTATTGTAAATTGCTACAATATTTTATTTTATTATTATTATTATTTTTTCACTTAATGTGAATTGCTTCAGTGGACAAGTTATTACTTAGTATGCTACACCTAATGAGTGCTCTTGCTGAAGTCGAGTTCAATTCTAATCAAGTTGAATGATGTTTAGTTGATTGTGTTTGTAGATCAAAACAGGTAGAAAGAATTGGGTGGCTTGCGGCTTAATCTACTTTAACCGGTCTGTTTTACTTGTTAAACTTTGTAGTTGTAGTGTTTCGGACACAATGAAATGGAGTAATTTATATCTACCGATTATAAATAAAAAAAAAATAGTCGATTTTGTTACAAGATAATGTATATTTTTCATTTTGGAATTTGATCCTGTGATTTTCCTTCTATAGAGGTGTCATCTTGGTTGAAGGCTCATCATTTTAATAATATTGTACTCAGGTCTAATTGTTTAAATTTCTGTTCTCCTTTTAATTCTTGTAATTTGGACCTATCATATGTTGGACTAGTTATTATGCAATGTCGTATTATTGCTAGGGACATTGGGAATATGCCTGTTCGCCATGTCAGTAGGTCAGCGAAACATGTTCGCCATGTCAGTAGGTTGCTCATGTGCTAGCACAGGTTACTGATTCTTTGTTTACCCTAGGTTCGTGATTCTCTATTCCATTGACCTGTATTTCGTCTTTGGTTGATTATTAATAAATTTCATCATTTCCCTTTCAAAAAAAAAAAAAAAAAAAAAAAAACAGTTGAGAGTAGTTGAGATATAATGAGAAAAAATAAATTTGGTTTCGAATGTAAAGGCAACCCCATTAGAGGATTTAGCACAGTACTTTTTTAGAAAAAATTGGATGATGTGGGTGAGAGAGTATGAAGAGAGAGAAGAAGTGGGTGTCTCCTCCCACCACTGAAGGGGTGAGTTGTGCCTCACCACGCATGAGGCACAATTCTTGCACTCAGGCTGGGCGCATAAATATTTTTTTTTTAATTTAGATTTTAATTTTTTTTCCCTCCTTATTTTTTCTTTTCTAATCACACATTATAAGATATATTGAATATAATATATATATATATATATATATATATATATATATATATATATAATATCTATGTATTTATATATAATAATATATAAATAGGAAGAGAGAGAGAGAAAGATTAGAATGAATAATGTTTATTCACTGGGATGGTTTAACAAATGAAAATACAATGCTCCATGTACTACTCCTATAATCTAGGCATGTTCCACATTAACATACATGACTCACCCATGTTTGTTTTTATTAAATTCTTTGACTTGATTTAATTACTAATAATATTAATAATATTATTATTATAACATTGCCTCCTTTAAACCAAGTTGGATATATTGGTCATCCCAATTTCCTTCTTCAATTTGAAAAAAATGTTTCCGTCTTCAAGTTGGATATACTGACTTGTATTTCGTTTTGTAAACCCACTTGACTCCAATTGGCTTCTTCCCAGGAGGTAAATCTGTTAACTCTCAGGTACCATTCTTTTCAATGGCGCGTATATCCTCATCCATCGCCTTAAGCCAATGAGTTTCTGTAGCAGCCTCCTCAAAAGTTAAGGATCACAATCTGCAAAGAGAGCAAATTGAATAATCTCTTCATCAGACAGGTCATTATCATGACCCAAAACATAATCTTGCAAGCGAGCTGGTAAGTGGTGCTCGCGCTAAGATCATCGAACTGACACTCTGGCTATGAAGGAGACTGGACATTATCTGGAATCAGTTGCTCTTCAACAATATTTTCAACAGCAGGAATAACAACTGAACTTTCATCTTTAGCTAACCAATCCCAGGCACCATATTCATCAAAAGTGACATCACGACTTATAACAACCTTCTTAGTTTCAGGATTGTATAGTTTATAAGCCTTTGAAGCGTCACTATAACCAATGAATATGCATTTCTCACCTTTATCATCCAACTTCTTTCTCAATGGATCTGGCACATGTGCATATGCCAAACATCCAAAAACCTTGAGATATTTGATAGAGGGTTTTCTCCCACTCCAAACTTCTTCGGGTGTCTTATCACGGAAACTTTTAGTTGGACACCTATTCAACACATAGACAACACAAGCAACAGCTTCTGCCTAAAAAGGCTTAGGCAGATTCTTGGATTTCAACATGCACCCTACCATATCCATGATAGACCTATTCTTCCTCCTAGCCACTCCGTTTTGTTGTAGAGTGTATCTATCTGTCATATGGTGTTGGATACCCTTCTTCTTCAGAAAATCATCACAGGCAATATATTCTGTACCTCTATCAGTTCTCAAAATTTTAATTTCATAACCACTTTGCTTCTCAACAAAAGCCTTAAATTGTTTGAAAACATCACATGCTTCAGACTTTTGCTTCAGAAAGTAAACCCATGTTTTTCTACTGAAATCATCAATGAAAGTAATAAAGCACTTACAACCTCCATGTGGGGGAACCTCCAACGAACACAGGTCTGAGTGAACAATCTCCAACTGTTTTGTAGCTCTCCTTGACTTGCCCACAGGGAAGGGATCTCTATGCTTCTTCCCAATCACACAAATCTCACATATACGATCAGGGACATTCACAACAGGTAAATCAGAAACAAGTTCCTTTCTCGCAAGATAGTGTAATCCAGAGAAATGGAAATGCCCAAATCGCATATGCCATAACCAATTATCATCACAAACTTCAGAATTAAAGCAAGCAAGGAGAGTATGCTTAATTTTTAAAGGAAATAGTCGATTCTGGGACATATTTACCTTTGCAATCAAGACTCCTTTAGCATCTGCAATGGTACAACACCCATGAGCAATATCTATCTTATATCCTTTTTCTGACAACTGACCCATACTCAACAAATTTTGGTGTAGTTCAGGAACATAGAACACATCGGATATAAAATTGTGAGTACCATCCTTCAACTGAATAGAGATTTTACCTTTCCCAAAATTGGCACCTTTGACTTATTGCCAAACGTTACTTCAGACCGGACTGATTCATCTAGTTCGGAAAACAATTCTTTCTTCCCACACATATGGTTACTACACCCAGTATCCAAGAACCATATGTTCTTATCTGTAGAAAAACTATTGCTGGCAAAAAGTAAGGTTTCAGAACTCTCACCAGACTTTTCAGCAGTGTTTTCAGCAATGTTTGCTTGATTTCCACGATTGTTGTCCTCATTATACCAAAAATCTGCAATCTTGTGTCCATACTTGCCACAATTGTAGCAATAAAATGGAAATTTACCTTGTTTGGTATTACCTCCACCTCTTCCTTGGTTGGAGTTACCACGACCTCTTCCACTAGAACCTCCTCTTCCTCTTCCACAACCTCTACTAGATCCTCCACCTCTTTGATTAGTGCCAGTCACATTAAGGGTGACTTGACTCTTCAAAGCTTCTTCAGCTAGTGGTTCCGATTTTGACGCAATCCTGTCAATATGACTTTCTACCATACCTTTCAGCTCTGCAATTGATAAGAGCTCGGTTTTGTGTGACTCTATTATTGAAGCCACCACATGGTCATACTTCATCGGCATAGTTCGTAGAACTTTTTCAACCACTGCACCATCTTCAATTGTATCTCCGTATAACCCCATCTTATTCACCATATCAATAAGACGAGTGAAATTCATATCTACTGTTTCTGTAAAGGTCATCTCACAATTATCGTACAACTTTCTCAACGACTGCAACTTAGACTTCTGCGCCCGATCGATTCCTTTGTGTGACACCTTTAAGATGTCTCAAGCTTGTTTTGCTGTTTGAGCACAAGCTAATTGCCCAAAAATGGAATAATGAACACCTTGGTGAATTTGACCCAAGGCCAATTTATCTCGCAGTATAGCGGCTGCATCAGCTCCTTCGGGTAGACCGGGATCAACAAAGCGCCAAAGATTTTGAGCTTGCAAATGTGTGGACATCATAATTTGTCAATAATTGTAATCGAGTTTCCCGTCCAATTTGGGACCCTACCATACAATATTGAAATTTGTTGCCATATTTCATTACGGGAAATATTTCGGGGTTGAAAGGTTGACTGACTTTGATACCAAATGTAAGATATATTAAATATAATATATATATATATATATATATATATATATTATATATATAATATATCTATGTATTTATATATAATAATATATAAATAGGAAGAGAGAGAGGGAAAGATTAGAATAAATAATGTTTATTCACTGGGATAATTTAACAAATGAAAATACACCACATATTTATACTAAGAGAAAGCTAATAAATAGGGAACTAATGCTCCATGTACTACTCCTATAATCTAGGCATGTTCCACATTAACATACATGACTCACCCATGTTTGTTTTTATTAAATTCTTTGACTTGGTTTAATTACTAATAATATTAATAATATTATTATTATAACACACATGAAACAACTCTTCAAAAATGTCACACTATTAAAAATGTTCTAAGTTAGGGGAACCCAAGTCCAAGTTGAGAATTTTTTAATGATATATTTACTTTTATTTGTAAAAAAAGAAAAAATAAAATAAATCTATGCTAAAAAAAATTGCAAGTTTGTAGCCCATGCTATAACAAACCAAAATACTAGAAGGAATTAATGTCGTCAATGAAGCTAATTAAGCTTGCTTAGCTTGCTATCTACCATCTTCAAAAGAACTAGTAGATATTTGGCCTATGGACGATGAGTGACGATATGATGATGCTGTCGTAGTAGTTGTGCCTGTAGAGAACACCCCCAGAAATTTAGAAGTAATTTCATCCACTCTTCTTGATCCCAGAGACCCCAACGCCTTTTCAATCCCAAAATCTTCGTCTCCATTAAGGTACCTCATCACCTCTCTCATGGCCGGCCTGGCTTCCGGTTGAGAGTGAGAACACAAAAGACCAAGCCCAAGAACCAACACCGCCTCTTCAATAACGTAGCCACACCTAATCAACTTAGGATCAACGGCGTCGAGAATTCTCCCCCGTTGAAAACACTCCACCACCCAATCCCCCAGCGCCATGTGGCCGTGGTCTTTGCTACTGTAGATCACCGGAGGCCTTCCGGTTGCTACTTCGAGAAGTAAAACGCCGTACGCGAAGACGTCGCTCCCGGTTGAGGCTTTCCCGGTTCGCGTCAGCTCCGGCGCTAAATACCCTATTGTCCCCACAACGTTGGTGGTGTGGGAGTTTCTGCCGTGGTCGTACAACCGGGCCAGCCCGAAATCGCCTAGTCTGGCATTCATGTCCCCGTCTATTAGGACGTTGCTCGACTTGATGTCTCGGTGGACCACCACCTGTTCCCATTCTTCGTGTAGATAGAGCAACCCGGCAGCCACGCCCTTGACGATGTTAAACCTGTTAGAAGATACATCATAGATAGATATTAGAAGAATACAATACTACATTATTATTGAATAACCTTTATAGAGTCATTACATGTTAGATTTAAATATAATCTAACTATAATGAATAATAATCTGTCAGAAACCTGATTTCGTAGTAGCCCGAGCCAAAGTATTGTTGATATATATGTTGATTTTCACAGTTGATGTCCTATTGTATTGTCCATCCAAGAGGTAACACAATAGGACATCAACTGTGGCAGCTACTACTAGGTCAGATTTATATTAAACACAAAATCTGGTTATCTAATGAGTAAATGCCATACAATTAGAACAAAAGCTGACTAATTTATTCAACATTACCTCTGCTCCCATGTTAGTACAACGTTGTTGTTGTTGGTTTTTGGTCGGTAGAGTAAAGAGTCTAGGCTTCCATTGGGGACATAATCATAGACTAGAAGAAGATCATTCTTGTTCTTGCACCAACCTTGTAGGTTTACTAAATTCTTGTGCCTTAACCTCCCCAAGCTCTCGATCTCCGCCACAAATTCCCTCACCCCTTGAAGGGAATTCTTGTTAATCTTCTTCACGGCAATCTGAACTCCATTAGTGGGTATAACGCCCTTGTACACCGTCCCAAACCCTCCAACTCCGATCAGCTCGTTGTCTCTGAACCCCCGGGTAGCCGTGTAAAGATCTTTGTACCGAAACCTGTGCGGGCAATCCAATTCCCAGTCTTCCAAAGCCTCAAAGTGCCTCACCCTTTTGTATAACGCTAGGAAAACCCACGCCGCCATGGCTAAGAATGAGAGGGAGCAGAAAGTGGCAATCAGGGCCTTCTTGAGTTTGGTTTTTCCGGCGGATTTTTGGTTCTCCGGCGGGGGAATAGGGAGCTGGGAAAGATTAAGCGGAGGGGCAGGTCCATTGAGGCGAAAACTCCAGCCCAGAATGTAATGAGAGCTCGCCAAATTTTCCCCTGTGGCGGCTGAGAAACCTGCGTACATTTGGTTCTTCATCACAGATGAGAGTTTTATCTGTTCAGACATTAATGGCCGGCTTGGCTTTGGGACATGGATGGGAGATACGGTGATTTTAACGGTTTCATTAACTCCGTCGTAATCTACCCAGGCTTGGATTGGCTCCCCGCTCTGTAACTTCACTTCTTCCGTCTTTCGAGTGCCGTTAATGTAGTACACTGCCGGCTGCGATGCCACCGATCCCATTCCATTGATGTTGATTCCGATGTGATTCCCGTCATCGTCTTTCCCCTCGTTATGCCCATTCACAGTATCGAATTCAACCATGAAAACATGGTTTGATTCCTGCCCATCATTGCTGGAGTTGAAGACTCCGAGGTAATGGTCTCCTTGAGCGCCGGGAAATTTCATGGATGGAGATAAAGTGAAACCGAAGCCATATCCGCCTCGGTTAGTCCCAAGAGGGATTATGGCGAAAACGAAGTAAGTACTAAAGGAAACAACGTTGTTGTTATGTGAAGTGGAGTTGAGAAAAGGGAGTGGGGTGGGGTAAAATGCATGGCCGATTGCGTCGTGTGATCTGTTGGTGAGCTTAAGCGCGCCGCTTGGTCTGATCACGGTGGCTCCCTGCAGGTTCAGGTTTGATCTGTTGAATCCATTGTACAGAAAATCAAAGGATTCCGATACCGTGAAGAGAGTGGAAATGGAAATAAGGAAGGCGATGAGGGAGAAGGGTGCAGCCATTGATGACTCGAAAGGAGAATGGAAAAGTTCTACAATGGGTTCAAACTTCTGGGGAATTGAAGAGTGGTGGAGGCCGTCAAGTCTATATTAGTAGAAAAAAGTTTTCAACTTTACCGGTAACTCAGTTGATTCTTGAGTGGTAGATTATTGACAAATAGGCAGAATTGAATCTTGGTAGCAGTAGTGTGGAGTTGATTCTTGAGCGGCAGATTATAAGCAATGACACAAAATTGAATCTTGGTAGCAGTAGTTTGGAGTTGATTCCTGAGTAGCAAATTATGGACAAGAACTCAAGATCGAATTCTGATAGCAGTAGTGTGGGAGTGACACCGTGGTGGACTCTTTGTGGACAATCGAATCTTGACAACAGTAGTGTCAGAATGATATATACCCTGATGGATTCTTTATGAGCATCAGTGTCTTGTCATCTAATTGATCATTGAGTCATAGTAATTTACTACCATACTTTGAAATGAGGGATTTTGTTTTTTTGTGGACGAGAAAAAGTTTTCAAAGGCAATATAACACAAATATGTTAATGTTTGAAGACAATTGCAATAATGTGGGAGTTGCAATAAGGGCGAGATGTGACGAGGAGGAAGCTATCTAGATAGGTTAGCTTTGACGTAGAAAAGAGGGCGAAGTGATATGTACAGTAGCGTCGTTTAGCCGTAGAAGAAAAGGGAGAGAGAGTCTAAAATGTTGAAAATTTCTAAGTTATAGATTGGTGACATTTTGACGTTACTATATATACGCGTTGCAATTCTTCGATCACCCATTAATGGCATCAATTATCAGTCATATGGTCCGTATAGTCAGCTCAACTGGTTAAAAAGGTGATGTTTGAGAAAAATAATTCAGAATTGAGTCTCATCAGCAACAGTATGAGAGCAACCTCTCAAAGTGAGGGGCTTCTTATGCACAGTAAACAAATGTCTAACTTATGTGGTTTAGTTAAGTTACCATAATTTACATCTTTTCAGATGCTTTGTTGGAGCGGGGTGTAGAGATCATTGGAGTTGGAGATTTAACCTTTTCAGGAGAATTATAAGTCATATGAATGCATTCTTTTGGCGGCAGTAGTACGCAACTCGCTAGATTAATTAGGCCAAAATACCTGCTTCCATTCATCTCTGCTCGTTTACATATAGCCACATGTAATAATTATTATTAATGCCATTCACATGATGTCATGATTAAGTGGCATATATAGAATTTTAGAACACAAAGTCATATATTCGATTTTTAATATAATCTCTTTAAATTAATGAACCAAGAATTGTAAAATACAATGATATTTTTTTGGTGATACTCAAGATTTTCACTGTTGGACACAGTGACTAATCCCTCGCTGAACGGTAGGCACCTCTAATGAGTGAAATCACTAGCATGGAGATTTAAGGTTGCTCAATGACCCAAAGACAATTATCGAACCATTGACATTTCGTTAAGGATAGATCAGATGAGTCTTATATGTGAATACGTTAAATGTTGTGTATTGTGCATTTAAATAAATGTCTGATGTAGTAAATATGGTCGGCATTGTCTACACTAAAGTTCTAGGGTCAGTTCCGGGTTCGGATCATTTGCCTAGTTTGCTTGTTGGTTTAAGTTCTAAAGCACCGAATGCTTGCCAGTGGGTCAGAGGCTCCCGAGCTAATAGCTAGTGAACAGAAATGGGCCAAAAGTCCCCATCTCAGTAATAAATGCAGTATTTATAGGGAGGAATGGGAAACAGTTTCCGGTCTCGCGGCATGCGCGGCACATGGAACACATGCACGGGTTCAGGGCGAGGCCCAAGGGGGCTTTGACACGTGCCCTGATATTCCAGAGGGCCCTGCGTACTGCCCCAGGCCGGGACCAAGTCGGGAAGCCGGCCCCGACCTGACTAGGTCGGGGTCACAAATAACGTAAGAGTGACACTGCAGGTCATCCTTAAGAGAGCTAAGTGAGTTAGGAGGTCGGGACCGTGCAGTACGAGGTCGGTACGGTCGGATCGGCCCAGCTCTAGAAGGAGGTTTGACATCGACCATCGTATGCGTACAGTTGTCGGGGAATAATCTCCATCAATGTCCAATGAAAAAGAGATAAAAAAAAAATCAATACATTAATTATATTGTAAGAATTGAAGAATATGTAGTCTCAACTAAAAGCCCTACTAATGCAAGTTGATTGCATTTCAATAGGTTCCAAGCAACATATGGGCTAGTTTCACATGAGTTTGATACCAAATTAAATGACATGTTATCAATTAAAAGTTTAAACTGATTGTACGTACTGTTAGACTACATGCTTATGCTATATATATATATATATATATATATATATATATATATGTGTGTGTGTGTGTGTGTGTGTGTGTGTGTGTGTGTGTGTGTGTGTGTGTGTAACAAAAATGTGTAGTTTAACTATTAACATATATATGTGTTCAACAATAATCATACAAGAAAGTAAACACAATATGTAAGAAATTTATCAATTAGAAAGAGCTAATAAGTGTACAAGAAAACTAGTAAATTAAATCATATCATTTGTCACTACGACAACACATTTTCTATTATCATTAAAATCTTACAATAATTTGTTTTTACGTGATTTTAGATAATTGCGTGTATTAGTTTTCAAAAAAGATATGCGTGTATTATATTTGGATAATAAAAATATTTACAATTTATCACTATTTTTTTTTACTATCTAGCTAGATGCGTACGTGTAAATGTGCAATTATCTATCTATCTATCTATCTATATATATATATATATATATATATATATATATATATATATATATATATATATATATATATATATAGAGTTGCACTCGGGTGCAAACGGCTTGCCCAGGCGCGAAATAGGAATGGATTCTGTTCGTCCACGTGTCCAGATCTAATGGATGAGAAACACTGATTTTTTAAAAAAACGCGGTGGCATTTTCGTAAATAATTGAACATCGAAGTGCAAGTAAAATGTATTACAAGTGCATGTAAAATGTATTATAGGTGCAAATAAAAATTTACACCGAGCATCAATACTTAGTTGCACTTATAGTTCTAAGTAGTTGCACCTATAGTTCTAAGTAGTTGCACACATAGGTATAAGTAGTTGCATCTAGGTGTATGAATGTTTGCAAGTGGTTTTCAGGAGTATTACTACCCGCTGAACTCAGATCAATGAATGTTAACAAGACAAAATTACATGCACTTATAGGTGAAAGTAGGTGCACATATAGTTATAAGTAGTTGCACCTATACTTATAAATAATTGCACATATAGTTATAAGCACACCCAGGTGCATGAATGGTTGCGGAAAGTGAATGCTAACAAGGCAAAATTACATGCACTTATAGGTGAAAATAGGTGCACTTATAAGAGATTTTACTTGCACTTCGATGTTCAATTATTTACGAAAATGCCACCGCATTTTTTTTTTAGGTTATTAGATCTGGACACGTGTCACGCGCTGATTCGTTCGCATTTCCTTCCTGGGCACTTATTCGCACCTGAGTGCGTCCCTATATATATATATATATATATATATATATATATATATATATATATATACACTAGTTTTTTTAAGCGTTTTACGCGAATGGGATAATACCCAATGGTTATTTTTAAATAAGTATTTCAAAATATATCAATGCAATATTATATAGGAGATGTTCATGCATAGGTAAATAAATGTTGAATTTGTTTATTTAAATCAGTAATTTAAAGTATATAAATGCAAAATAATATATGAGAGATTGATTATAATTGTCACTAAAATAAATGTTTGCAACTTTGTAATAACGCTAGTCTAAATACTTAGTCTAAAAACGATAGTCTAAATAAATATTACTTTTGGTTTAAATTTCTCTAATTCTTCTTAATTCTCTTTTGGGTAGCATTGTCATTGCCTTCATCTTCAGTACATGTCTTTTTTTTTTTTTTTTTAATTGGTAATATGTCATGTGCAATTGGGTTACTGGTGGTAGCATAGAGGGATTCATCGTGCAATGAGATTATGATGTAAGAAGCTTTAGATTAATTTGCCTTGTTGTGTATATGATGGGATCTTAGTTGTACTATGAACTCTTTATCTTACCAGCACCTATTGATATTTGGTAGTGGTAGTTTTCCCCTTACATGTTTCATGCATTGTGAGATATGTGTCGTAGGCTATTATGTGAAAGTATTGAACAGAATATTAATATTTATTATATTTGTATAAAATACTTGGTAAATAAATATATATAACATATTTTGTATTATAATTTTGATATTTAATTACAAGATAATGTAAAAAGATGATAATGGACAATGTAGTGAATATAATAAATTAATAAATTTGAAGATAGTGAATCTTTCAATTGAAAAAAAAATAAATATAATATAACTAATGAAATTATATCTCTTTTTAAAATTTTTATAATGAATAATTTCTTTTTTAAAAAGGCATTATAATCTAATTCTAAATTAATTAAATGCATATGTATTATTTTTTGTTGTAGCTACTAATTTATTTAATTAATAAGAGTAATAAAGTGACGTACATACTTTTCATCAACAATAATGAAATCATTGATTTTATTTTTTTTTAGTTTCTATTTGTTGTTGAGACAAATTGTTTTGAGAATTTTTCAATTACAATTGTTACAATTCCTGTCAATAGAGAATGATAATAAATAATTTAAAATATATAGTTACAATATATATTGTTATAATGATATAGTAAAAATTAACTCACATATTTCTTTAGAAGTTTTCATGAATTGATAAAATTCTGATGTGTAAATTTGTTCAATTGGAGCCAGTGGGATGTCAACATTGTCAATTCTTTATAAAATGGTCCTATCGTTTTAGAGTCCAAGTATAATTGTATTTATGATCAATAACTTTGTAGTTAAGTCGCACAGGTCTGACAATGATGTAAGAACAATTTTGTCTGATAAAAAAAATAATAGTATAATATTTATAAAGTAATGTACAATTGTACCATTATAAAAAATACATTAAAAAAAATTAATATCATAACGACCTAAATCATTCCAATAATGCAAAAGTATAATTGAAGTTTTGTTCTAATAATCAAAATAAGATTAATTAAACAAAAAAAAAAAAAAAAAAAAAAAAACCTTAACCTAAATTTGTATTTTAAAAAAAAACATAAAAATCAAAGCATTTTTGTGATTTATAATCTTTGAATGCTATGTATTTAGTCGAACTAATTAT